GGGTACTTGCATCAACGCTAATTTAATATTCAGGGAAAAACATTTAACAGTGTGTAATGAGTATAATATTTAAATTAAAAATGTTGTGGCCGAGTTTATGTCTCTAATGCAGATTAAAAATAAGTTCTACAAATAAAATTTGATTTCGATTTCCAATGTTCTTTTGTCATAAACTAAGTTTTGTTATAAAGTCTCTAATTTTGCCACGAACTGAAAGTATATCCTTCTATTCTTTGTAAATATAAATTTAGTTCTTTAAGTTTTGAAAATATTTCGGTTTAATACGTAAGTTCAAAATAAATACTTCTGTGTACAAAATAAGGGATTTGCGAGAACTCCCCGTCTCACAACTTTTCATAGAAGTTCAAAACCTTTTCTTTTGATAAAACTACATAAGTATCGAGGGTCTTGAAAATGTCCTAAAACTACCAAAAGTACCCATCGTAATAATTACGAAATACAAGACGAATTATTATAAATAATAATATTGAAACCCGTTGATTATTTTCAGGGTTTATAAATAAAAGTATAACTGGTGACAAACAGATACTGATACTGAATGGATACTAAACGAATTATAAGAATTTAACATTGGTCAGATAATTATTGTGTACAAATTTTAAATAAACCATGATACTGTGTAGCTTCCTTCCAAAATATATTGTTGCACCTATTTTATAAATTCCACATCATATATTACTTAAAAATTAAAACCATTGGTTTCCAAACTTTTTTTTTGGCGGAAACCGGAGTTGTACCTTTTTCGCTTTTAGCGGAAACGTAAAACTCCTGCTGTAACTACGTTAATAAGACGGAAACAACAATATCCATCTTGCATGAGTAGCGTCCTTTTAATTCAACTGTTATACGATTGATTCGTAACAACCGAAAAGCTTATAAATTATAATACGGTAATATGTAGAGAAATAAAACAAAACTAAATATTAAAAACTAAGATCAAATATTAAAACAATCAATAGTTGTTTTTCCTGCAAGGTGAAATTTGTTTTTTGCTGTTTTTCCACAATTTGAAAATGAAGTGTCTAAAATATTTTGCTGCTTTAATAGTTGATCAAACTAGAGTTGTATACAATAATAATATCAAGTTAATGACGGAACGGCACAGCCAAGGGTGCAGGGTTTCCGGTAGTTATAATATTATTGTGTGCTATCCAGGGTCAATCGTATTCAATATTAAATAATAATAATAAAACCACTACAGGTTGTACAAAAGCAACTCAAAGTTGAAAGGAGACGAAAAATCACTTCGAGACACCTAATTCGAATTTATCTAACTCTATCTCTGCGAGGTATTAATGTATTACAGGGGAATAAAAGAAATCTAGTTTTAAAGTTTTTCGAGGTATCGCCACTCGAGTTTATTACACGATCGATCGTCAATATTCGTAACTCTCAACCAGCTATATCATCATATAAGCAGATTGACAATATTATAGAATATAAACTTCGACGGTACCCGCTCGCTGCATTTACCACGCGTGCGTTGTGTGTACGTGCGTATGCCGATAACAATAAATGATAATATGGATAAACGCACATGATGGAGCACTACGCCATAGTAATAATAATAATAATAATAATAATAATAATAATANTCTAGTTTTAAAGTTTTTCGAGGTATCGCCACTCGAGTTTATTACACGATGGACATGATGGAGCACGTAACCATAGTAATAATAATAATAATAATAATAATAATAATAATATTAATAATATAATAACATTACGTATTACAACGTGTATAATATACGCGACGCGGTTCGCTGAGCAACGAGCATTACCGTCGTCCGATTCCTCCCCATTTATCTCTTGCAGTCGTGTCCATTATTATATTACGGTACATAATATAATATGTATATAGTACGTACCTACTACATACGCGGTATTCGATTACCCGAGTGGTATAAAAGTACTTCTCTTTTTTTTTTTGCCTGCGCGTATGATCTCACCACCACTCGTTGCTGTTGCGGAAAATAATAATAATATAATAAATAAACTCTCAGCGATCGAGGATTACGATCGGACATTATAGTATTAGTCGGGCAGCTGATGCGTCGGTTCGCTCGTCGACATCATAATATTGTATTATTATTATCATTATAAACGGTCGGCGGCGGCCCAGGACCCAGGTTGCTGGTAATAATCGTATAATGTATAATATCATGTAAGTACCTATATAATATTATAATATGTCGTTGGTCGTCCTCGTTTGCATTTCAGCGGTCACACACACACACACACACACACACACACACACACACAAACACTGTGTATAGCCACCTATTATTATGTTATAATATTATATCGTTTTTATTCGGGGCACACAATGCAAGAACAACCGCAAAAGGGAGAAGACGACGACAATATGTCTCTGCGCCTCTAGACGAAAGGTCGGACGTATCGACATAATAATAATAATAATAATAATAGTAATAATAGGAGTTAGGCCGGACGGACAATGATAATTCCCATTGTCGTCATCGCGCCGCACCACCGCACATTTTTTCACTATATATTATTATTTATTATGTTTCTACCTACTTTATACTTAAATGTACTTCTGTGCACGATATTGTATCAGAGCATAATGCACGCCGTACAGCCACGTAAACAAACACGGTGACAGATGCAGCCTAATAGATTCCCAGTGTTACTTCCTCAGTTCCTTGTAGTCGCAACAGAATGCACCGCCACCGCACAAATAATGTTATCATTAAATAATCATTGTCTGTAGATCTTTAGGACGCGAACACGATCGGACATATACATTCTAGAAATCTATATCATGTGCCACGAGGGTGGTAACTTAAAATAAACTTTACGTACCGATTGCTAATTTACTTACGATTTGCGGTTCCGTTTGTATAGTCAACTGTTAATAATGTTATATAATATTTACTTTGAAAAATATTATATTTCTGAAAATAGAACCACCAAAAACTACTTAACATAAAATGTAATTTTTCTCAAAATGGTATGAGAGGAAATTGTTCCTTAGGACGACAGTATTATACTATTATTAAGGTCCCCATACACTGCAGTGATGGCGGTGGCCGTACCGGAAGCGTTAAAACGAGTCCGGAAACAATTTACCGCCACGGCGGCTGCACCGCCAAAACAAAAGATTTGTGTGGACTATTATAGTAATGCGTTTGACTCATTTAGTTTGTTCGTGGATCAATAAAAGTATTTCACAATGGAATCGGTATATTAATGTTTTAAATTGATCTTAAGCCTGGAAACTATGACCATTAGCTGTTTTGTAGGTTTGTTGGTTTGTAGGGTGTTGGAGCGGTCGGTTTTAATACGTTTGAGTTTGGCAGAATTTTGATTGGGCTCCCGTAGGTTTCTGCCATGCCCAGTATATTTGTTATTTATACTTTTATACTATATTTTTACATTGATCGAATGATCGTTTGCTATGATCATTAATAATTCGCCGTAGTTGATCATATGGATAAATCTAATATAATAATATCATATGTACATATTAGATTTGTATTAAATAATATATATATTTATGTCAAAGGCTATGATATTTTCAAATGTTTTTTTTTACTATCCAACCCTAGTCCCTACTAATATTTACCGTATTACAACTATATTAAACTATATTAAAACATGATAAATAATAAAAACATAATTTATATCTCCGATAAACAGTGTAATTATCAGTGAAATAAATTTAATGATGCATTTTTTTTTTTTGAAGTGAAACATCTAATGCCACTTGTTGGCGTGGCGACGTTAGCATTCGTGTAAAGTCTCGAAACGAGCGCATGGACCCAAAGGACGGCATCTAATGGGCTTTTAAAATAAAAAACAGTTTATCTTTAAAAAAATTGAATTTTTTGTTTTTGATTATGCCGTGTTTATTTCATTTAATGAACCATAAATGAAATTTTCATACATATTTTCTATACAAAAAATTTCGGTGTTTGACATCTGCCAGGAGTCCAGCTACGGCGTACTTTTTGTACCAATTACTAATTCCTTACGTTCACCAGATTTAATTGAAAATTGCCTGATTTTAGAATTATGTATAAGATGATAAAATATTTAAGTGTATACATATTTTTTTTAAGTATATCAAGTCAGAAAGAATACTGAGTGAACGCATATTAAAATCAAATACTAATAAATACTATATAGTAAGTGATATAAAATATTTCATAATATTTTGATGGCACATAAATTGTGAATTATATAATCTAATAAATAAGTAACTGATCATAATTAATACCTGAAGACTGACAGTTAGGTTGAAGCGCCGTGTTAAAAATTATCATACATAAAATGAATAATGTAATCGATCAGATATAAAATAAATATGAACGAGACAAGGATTTGTTAACCTAGAAAATATTTCCTCAGCTCCACAAAACAGCTGTAAATAGATCATGTGGTGATTTTTTTATTTTTATAGATACCTACCTACCTTATAAAATTAATATCCACAAGTTCATGTTTGTAATATAATGTTACTCGTTGGATATTGGCCGTTTTATTCGATGTGCTTCAATATTTTTATTTTATTATTTTATATTTATAATTTTTAGTCATGAAAGGAATCGGAGACACGCTTTTCTGACATATTCATTATATTTTGTAGTATTTTCAATAGATCTTTCACGAATAATAAAAATAACATTTTTATTTTAGATTTAAGTACTATTTTGAGTAATAACTACCTACCTAAGATTAGTATAAATAAATAAAATTATTTTTATTGACTAACAAATAGTGGATGTACAATGTCCTTACCAGTCATCAATACTACACGATGGCTGTACTTCAGGTTGCTTCGATTCGCTATGGAAAATTATGTTAAGAGTATTAAAATGTGTACTTAAAAGAACTATATTTGACGTATATAAATAGCGAATGAAAAGCAGCTGTAAATGCATGAGTCTATGGGCGGTATGTGATGCTCCACCCAGAGGGTCGTGTTGAATTAAATTTTGATAAAAAGGTCACAGTAATAATTGAGTACGTTTATTGGGTAGGTATAGCTAACACAGAGGTGTGTAAAAAAACGCCAATGATATGCACGATTCGAAGGGTTTAATAATGCTATAACTGACTTTATATTGCACACACGATCAACTGTCTCGGAATTAGAAAATATGATATAAATAAAAACGTTCAGGACAAGTGACAACAAAGTTACGAAAATCATATTTTGGATTTTTTTTTTTCGACTAAAAAATACATTTTTTTAAATATGTGATGCTTAAATTGGCGCAATCTACTACACAACTGCGTCGGAGTTGGCGTCGGACGTGACTTCATTTTCGGCATTCGGCAGACTGCTGCCGCTACGGTTAAGGTGTCCGCGTAGACCTTCGAACATCTTTTGCCGGCTGTTTCGGCCATTTTCGGACATCTCAGTTACAGCGTTGGACACGTGAGTCGAGACTGCGTCGAGGGTGCCCGTGACTAGGCCCACCACCGGCCAATCGCCAACGACATCGTCGATGTTCCTGAAACCACTGGCCAGGTAACCACCACCAGTGGCCACTGTGGCGCTGAGGCCGTCAAACAGCTGACTGAATAGGTATCCTAGGGCGAGCGTGCTCCGTCCACCGCCCTTGGCAATCTCTCCCAACGACTTGTTGGCTTCGCTACCAAGATCCGATACCGCAGATCCCGTTTTCTTGATCAGTGTTTTGAACATGTCACCGACGTTCTCCACTCCGTTGATTGCCGTCTTTGCCCCGTCCGTGACCATCGAATTCGCCTTGTCCAAAGCACTTGAGGCCGTGCTGCTGGGCGTGGAAGCCGCGGCGTTCTGGTCTTCTGCTGGCACAGGTGTAGTGTGGATGTTGCCCATCTGTACCAAAAAAATAAACGAGAATCACGTTATCAAGCGTCACCTCAGGAGTGGGTACGTATATGGGCCATGGGAGAGGTCGAGTTCCATGTTTTCGGGTATTTTTAATTTTGAGAAAAAAAATTAGACTCAAGACAAAAAAAAAAATATAGTTAAAAATAATTCAAACGAATTTGTCTTTATTTGTCGTGACTACGACTGTATAATATTTTTACACTGAGTAACAGGCTTAGATCCAAATGTTAATGTGCATTAGATTTAGTTAATTAAAGAGATAGGATATATCCCTATTTAATTCACATTAAATATTCAAACGATTGATGAAATAAAAATGAAATTAACTCTAAAGCACATACTAACGAATGACGACAGCATACAAACGTGGTTTGTAATAAATTGCACTGTAAAATGCTTACTTGATTCGATGATGTAAAAATAATATTAGTGGTATAATTATTGTAAAGATGACTCTGCGCCCGCATGTTGTCTCTGCGTTACAAATGTACAACATGGCAAAAACTGTTTAGTGCGGGACAACTGTATACTCCCATTGTATTTACAGCTGAATTACCAAAATTCCACAGCTCATAGAAAGGGACTTTATTTGTGTCTTAGCATTTTTATTATTTCGATAACATAAATAAAATTAAAGTTTCTTAGTTTGAGAATATTAGAACTGTTTTTTTTCATATAGGTATTAAACATTATTGGTTAGTGTTATCAAAAAAATAAAACAGCAGACAGATAAGGTTTTTTCTATGCATTATAAGATTTTGGTAATTCTGCTATAAATACATAGGGATTATAGTTGTTCCACCTAAGCGTTTTTAACACGGAGATTCTGAGCTAGTGTAGTGTCCTTTTAATTAGAACACCGCATAATGTCCGTCATTATCATCAACGATAAAAATAACGCCATGTTATAATATCTAATGCAAATGAATTCATTTTTTATTTCAAGATTTTTAAATATATTATATTATTAACTATCGGTCTGGTTTTTTTCGTGACCATTGCCGAAGCGAACTAGAAATTTAAATTTTACGTATATAAACTAAATTTTTAATAACAAGTCGAGTTTTATTATTGGGATATTAAGTTGAATTCTGGGTGAAGCGAGAAATGTATTAGTAATAGGTCATATAGTTTTAGAAAGATGTGCTTTGTCTTAATTTTTTTATATTTATGGAATTGACCTTTTGTAAGACTTAAAAAAAAATGAATATTGTAATATATTGATCAGACTGAATTTTTTATCATCGGTTTTTCGGGGCAAAGCATCTGGCTGTTTATAATAAATGTTTTTTGTTCTATTTCAACAATAATAATAAAAGAATAATCCTAAACTTAAGTTACATTGGTTTTAATTTTGAAAACTCAAGACAATGTTTTGAGGTACCTCATCTACGACAAATGGACTATTTAAAAATTTTAAGACCGGAAATATTTCGCAATTTGTTTTATATTTTGATAAAATACATATTATTTTTCAATTTTTAAATATGTTCTGACTAATTCCAGATTATAACCTTCAAATGCAAACATAAAACAAATATTGTTAAAATATATTCAATAATAAACATGGATGATAAACACAAATCTTCATATCTCATAGTAAAAAAAAAATATTTCTTCTGATATTCCAATAAAATTTATTGATTTTCATTTTTTAAATATATAAATAAATATAAACACTTTTAATCTATTCATAAATAATAAGAACTAAAAATTAAAAAATTCATACCTGGAATAGACAACCAACCAATAAATAAATTATCATATTTTTAGTATTTTGAGCGACACAAGTCATTTTGTAAATTTTTTTTATCGAAATTGAATTTAACCAAGTCACTTGTAATATGGATATAACGCTGAAAGACCATAAGTGATCGCTTTTATACAATGATCATAATGACGGAATAGACATTCAATTAGCAATTAAGTAAAATACATGTGTTGTTTACAGAAGTGCAATAAACGTTACACTCATTCTATATTATAAAATTATCAATTAAGCGATTTAATTGCGACCTGGATTTACACTTCTATCCGTCTCCAAAACAAACATGAATACATAACCCATTTCTCTGAGCATTTATGTTTTTTTACATGTCCCCTACATGAGGTTTGAGGTCATAATTCTCATAAACAAGTTAATAAAATCATAATTTCTTAAAATTACCTACTTTACTGATTTTAATTTTTATAAGACTTCGATATAAAATAAGTTTGTAACTAATTACTAATCAATGAATCGTACAAAACTGAATTTTTTAACAATCAACTGAGTTTTATCCTTATTCCAATTGTAATTATAATACTATAAATATTTTGCCTAATTAAAGGTATATTTATCTTACATAATACCTTTATATGATAATATTATATAATAATAACTAAATATTGGAATTGTTTTTGGATGTAAGATTGTAGATTTCAAGAAAAATATTGGCTTAAAATTATGTGTTAGTTTTGTCAACTAACATATTTTCTAATACTTTATGTACTCAGCTGGTAGGTACTTTAAACAGCCGTATTATTTAAATGAAACTTGAAAGGAAACCTACCGGAACTGTAAACAATAGGTATTGAGAAATGTATAACATTTTGTCAAAACAAATTTTGGTGATACATTTATACTATAGGTACTTATGCTGTATTAAAAAAAAAAAAAAATGTATTGACTTAAAAATGTTACATTCATCCTAGATTTTTAGATAATTTACATTTAATTTTTAACATAGCATTGCAATTTGAGTATGAGGTTCTTTAGACTTAGTTAAATATATTAAATGGATGTTGATACATTGAATCCTTATTATTATATTATAAAGCAATTTATATTGGTAAATTAAGAAGTAAATAATTTTATAGGAAAACAATCTTATCAATAGTCGTTCATAATAATGTTCAACACATTTGTCATTGAACTTAACTATAAAATAAAAACACATCAAAATGTTGTACTCAGCATGATGATTTTCACACAACAGTCAATCTAATATTTATATTCCGTCCAGATTTATTATATTAATTTATGAGTTTATTTAATTTTTTTATATAATATTTTTCAAATATAAATAGTGCTCAAAAAGATGTATGTGCCAGAACTATCAATTTTAATTTTGTAATTGAATCTGTAGGTATAACCTTGTAAGAGGTTATTATTACATTTTTTCAATAGTTTATCATGGTAATAAATTAATGTTGACAACTATAACAAATGTTTTTTATGAAGTAAATATCAGCATGCTCAACTTTAATCAAGCTTCTATAGAATCTTTTTTTTTTTTAAATTCGACAAAGTATTGTTGCTTTGAAATTAAATGCTATCAAACGCTAGTCGCTATTACCTACCTTGAAGCATAATAATTTAATGGAGACGATTACTTATCATATAGTTCTTGTATTATGTCTGACTTCTTTTGGTTGAAAGATGATGTTTTTGTGATAGTATTTCAGTGTATCTAGAAGAATTTTTTTAACCAATCTTTATATAATTACGTTATATTTTTATGGCCACTTTCCAATCTTTGATGTTTGTAAAATACATTTTTAATGCCTTTTTATAGGTATTTACATTTAATTTTACCTGTTTAAGAAGTTTTATATTTTCATGAATTTTGAGTAAGTATTTCCAATATTATCATAAGATTTATAATTGATGGTGTTATCAAAATTATGTATTTATTATATATTAATATTGCAAGTCATAAGTTTAGTCGAATAAGTAAACCGCAAATAAGCATATTTTAATCTCACTTACATGCACTCAATTCAAAAAACGACTGAGTATCAAGAAAAATTCATAAAATCAAAATATATGTCTTTAAAATTCTAATTCAGTGGCTCACCACTGATAATCAATGTGAATGCATAATTGTTGATTATTACGGTTCTATAATTTATATCTTATTGCCACCATGCATTTTTATTGATAACACGTATGTCGTATGTCAACATTAGGTAAGTAGTTTGTTTTATCAACACAATATACTAGGAATTTTATAAAAAAAAAAATCACAAACAAGACACAAGAGTATTATAGTATAGGTACTTTTTACTTATAATCAGTAGTCTGCTGTTCAGTTATTTGAAAATAAATTGACAATCGGTGCAAGTTAATTTTTATTATAATTTATTATGATTTAAAACAACATTTTTATTTCATGTTCTAGACAATATTGAGTCAGTAATTCTACAATGTTACACTTTTTTGGCGAGAAAAAACTTAAAGACTGGTGCTCTTCGTTATTCGTACCATCATTTTTTTAAAACTATTATTGTTGTTATGATATGTCACTTTATATTATAATATAACAATACAAAAATAATTTCGAGTCACTGTTCACTGCTGAAAATGCCACTCAGAAGACTCGACCAATTTCTAGTGCCGTTCTTCACCATCTGCCCCATTCTGCTGGCGGTGTTAGTGCCGAAGTTTATGGCTGATTCGTTCATTCTGTGTAAAAATGACACCATGTTTTTTCCGGACTCCGCCGCCGCGTCTGCTGAGTCCAAGTACCTTGAGACGACGTTGCTTGCCATCGACTTTGCTCTGCTAGTCAGGCCGCCAAAAATGCTTTGCACATAGGACGTATCAGGAACATCCACTGAAATCGTCTGAGGATCGGGTGCTGCTCGACCACCACTGACCTGCGTGCGTATACAAATATCGAAACATTTAAACTGCGGGGCCGATTGTCATACTAACTAATAATATATTATTGATAATTCCTGGGAATTCCAAAGTATAAATTGTGTGCTAATTTGTGCCAATATTTTATTAAGCGTATAACTAGAATAGTATTTCCTGAGTGGTTTTAGAGTATAATGGAAAAAGACTTTTGGATTATTTTCGACGAATCCACATCAGTGTATAGTTACCTAAACAGATTTTAGCTTTACTTTAAACTTTCCTGGCCCTCTTCCTACATAAATGGCGTACATCGGCTACATAGAAAAATAAAGATTAAACGGTTGTGGCATTTCACACAAAGATCAAAATAATAATAACAATAATGAAAGATTTTTTTTTAAATTTAAAGCGTAGGTCATGTCAAATAAAAAGAGTGATTTAAATGTGATGGCAAGATTGTACACATATTAAATATTTTCTTACTTATGGCCAATTAGAGCTAACTACGGTACTAGTTTGTACCACTATTTTTTTTGTGGTCATTTTATTATTTTTAAATTGATTAATTAAAAATGAAAAAAGTTAAGTAGATTCAAGTAGTTTACTCCTTTCTGATTTTTGGTAGTTGTATATTTAGGTACAACAGGAACGGTTCCTAACATTACCACAAACTATTATTTGCAATATTTTGTTACCTAAACTGTATTCGTTATAACATAACTCATTTTTTTTTTTTTAGTATTTATTTTATTTTTCTAAAAAATAAATATAACTAAAAGTTTAATTTTTAATTTTCATTAATCACAATACTATATTTTATACAGCTACCTATGAGTTTTCAGTTTTTAAACAAGGATGATAAACACTTGGTACTATATGTTATGAATATCTGAAGATTAGCCTAAAATAAAGGTACATCTCAAATGTGATACCTACAAAATAAAAATAAGATTTTTTTAAACTAATAAATGTTGTTTAATACTGGGTAAAAATTGAGATTTTAATGAATTAAGTTAACTATAAATAAATTATCATTTGCTAACGCTTATTATAAAATTAATAATTTGTACACAATTATTACCTATAATTATACATATTATATACTATACATTTTAGCCTTTAGATGCTTAATATACAAAGCAACATCAATTATCTAAAGTATTTCATCACAGTATTATACTTATTATTTTTTTTTTTAATGAATATTACTTTATTTGTTGACATTTAAATAATTATTTTTCGAGAATTATTACAATTAAGTTATCATACTATTACAATAAATATTATTTAAAAATTAAAATTAATGATTAATAGTTAGGAGTAAATGTGACATCACCGCATTTATTCCTCCTATTGACATAATATTTAGTGCAATGAAATCAAGTAGATGTGGAAAAAATGATTATGAGAAAACTTTTACCAGAGATATTTTTAACCAGCTAAAATTAAAAAAAAAATTAATTAATGATAAATATAATTTGATTATGCATTCATCATAGTATAAACAATAATTGAATATAATATATGTACAACACAAATTATATAAATTAATTAATGCTTATTTAAAAACAGTTAGTTAGTTCAAAAATAAAAAAATAAACTTGACCATACTATTATTAGTTTACATTAACAATAATAATACAACGACGTAAGTAACTATTTTAGTATGAGTGTTATCTTTAAAAAATAAATTTGAATATTTTGCAAATATGTATTACCTACCTACTTTAGGTACAAACATATTACATACTTGGAATAAACAAGCAACCAACATATAAATTGCCATATTTTTAGTAAAATACTGATTGAGACAAGTCATTTTATAAACTGTTTTGATATTAAACTTAATTAATTTGACCAAGTGATATTCAATGCGGAACTTATACCGGAACATTCAGGGTGGTCGCTTTTATTCTGTGATAAAAAAAAACGGATATATGTATAACAATTTATTATAAATTGATATGCACAAGTGTGTTTACTGAAACATATTAAACGTCATACCTGCTTATTTTATAATGGGAAATTATCAATTAAGCAGTTTAATTGCGATTACAATTTACATTTCCAACCGTCTAAAAAACAAACACATGTATGTTCACTGTTCTAATGTACATCGCAGTATGTTTATAACGTCACATATATTTGATCACACATACGTGTGCTTTATTTCTAATGTCGCAATCGCTTTAAAAAAATGAGCTAACGAACTGCAAAAAAATGCTTATCATTAGTTACTTTACGAGTGAACATTGAGTGTCTTATTTATTTTTCATCAATTTTATTTATTAGAACAAATGCAAAGTTAGCAGAGAATTGTTGTTAAACATATTATATTATTATAAACTTATATCAAATCGAAAACATGTTTACATTACATGCCCTGAATACTTAATATATTTTCATAATATAACTATTAACTACGTACCTATTTTATAATATTGTATTAAATTGTTATTTTGGGAAAGATGCTTGCCTTGGGATATTTAAAGGCTCCTTTTATTTGTCTTGAGCCATAACACTAGGAAAATGACATTATTTTTATTATAACACTTACAAGTTGCAACTTATTCTTCAAAGCCAGAAACTGTAGGTAGCAATTTTCATATATTCATTATTTTATGCTACTTAAACCTTTCTTCAACAATTGTAAAGTTTTTTAATTGAAAGTGATTTATGTCAAGATAATCTATAGTCGTTACTAAAATATGGCCTGTAAGTTATTGTTTGTATCTATTAGACACTTTACATTTAGTACGAGAGTCTTTTGTTAGATATTGGGATTATGGTTAATTGTTTCGTATTTAAACAATTATTGAAATCGCTAATAATTATTATTGTTAGGTAAATTGATTATTGCTATTAATTACAACTTACAATGCAAATTACAAACCTCGAGTTCGTGAAAAAGGAAACAATTTCAGTTATGATTGTAGGTTAGACAATGCCATTGTGGAAACATGGCGTGAACCAAAAAAATCCATTTAAATATTTTATCATCACAGTTAGTTTAAATATTTTTTTATAAGAAAATATTTAATTTATATTTATTGACAGCTTAATAAAGACAGGTGGCATTATACTCATTTACTTTTTATTTTCCATTAAGCTAATTGGCAAAAATATATTAATTTGATACGGAATTAATTATTAGTTATTTTGTCTTGGGAACCGTGATCTTTGGTGAATTTTTTTCTACAGATAAATTTAAAATTAGAATTAAAGTTATGCTTGGTTTTCAAACAATATTGTTTGGTCTGAAATAATAATTTCACTTTAGTAAGAACTATATTATAACTATAAGTAATATTTGATATTACCGCATTTAAACGAATAACACTGAAACGGTTTTCTGATTAGATGATAATATACTACGTAGGTAAGTACAAATTTGCACATATTTTAATGTACGAGTATATAATTATTCATGACCAACAGTAAAAATACAATAATTATATTTTCAATTCCATTTAGAATTATAATGTTCTCAATCCCACAGAGTTTGATTATCGTACAGCTTATTGTTAAAAGACCATTTATTTTCTTTTTCTCATTATTTTTAATCCAGTCGAGCATACCCAAACAATATTAATGGAGGACACAATATTTTTCTTGCACATTCACACGGGGTTGACATTTTAATATTCAAGGGCACCAAATTGCTCATCAGTTTGTGAATTCTACACAAAGGTACGTTATTACTTTTGTTGTGTTTTATTGACTGATTATTTTCTGAATAAAACTATTTCAAATTTGATATTAAATCCCCGCACTATTCGATCTCACTCCCTGTAAGTGAACATTTAAGAAACGAAATTTAAATTATTTACGTACAAACTACAATAATTTGGTTGCCTAACTAAAATGCATATTTTCAACATTATATTCGGCCCAAAGAGGAAATCGTAAATATAATTAATATAATGACATAACTTTATAAATACAATAATTAATTGACAAATATAAAATACCATTGCAACCACCTATGGCTATGAAATAAGTAAATACAAATCATTTTCACTTATATTGTTTGAATTGTTTTTTTTTAGAAATTTAAAACCAAAAACATTCTAAAACATTGAAAAATTTATGTCTTCAAAATACTATTGTTTAAATAAGCTCCGAATTATTTTTCCAAACTATTCCTGCATTTTTTTGGCCAGCATTCAGATGTAGCAAAGATATGTTCTATCTGCAGCTCTTGTATGTCAAATGTATAAATACAGTATTTTTGAGTTTATTATTGTATTCGAATGCTTTCTTATGGATATCACGTCATCATAACCATTAAAAACATGTTTCTTAATTTTTGGTTACAGTTTGGCAACAATTGATTAACCAGTTTTGAATAAACAACTTTTGCACACTCTGAAACAGGGTCTTGACTGTTGTATGAAACAAACATTTTTTTATATAATTTATCGAATTTAAATTAATCTATTTATTCTATGGTTTATATTAAACCTTGGATTCTATATAACTTGTATTAAGTTTTATGGTGTTTAGTGCCTTCTATCTAAATTGCCATTCTTACCAAGAGTAATGACCAAGAGTATAGAGGTCAACATTTCAAAGTACTCGGCAGGGTTTCTGCTCATATTTTGCTTAGCTTAGATTTATAGTTAGCGGGTAGTAACACATCCTATTAGGATTATGTTTAATGTAATTTTTATTCTCAATTTATCTTAATTGTGTTTAAAAGCTTTAAATATGTATAATGACTAAATCTAAATGTCATTCATTATAAATATGAACTATCGCAAAATACAAAATTTTCAAATTATAAATTTGGTATAGATTTAGATTTTTGATATAATTCATAACGATAATTGAATTTAAAAAAAAAAGTGTAAGTGGGTGACGCTCCACTGTAATGTAGGTACTTACATGTAGGTCATTGTAATGGATTAAATTTGAATTCAAAGATATAATATCATTGTATACAAAAAATGATTCTGAGCGGAGATGGTTGGTCGGCCTAATATATTTTATATTATATTTATATTGTTATTATTATAAGCCACTACTGTTAATGCTAAAGTAGGTTGAATTAATATTATTTGCATATTATCATATATGTACATAACAATAAACTTTAAAAGTTTCAAGTGACCACGAATATTATTTTTTAAATTCAGCGATATGACGAAAATCGTTGATCTTGATTATTAAATATGTAATTTTGTCCAAATTGAACTTAAACCAACTTAACAGAAAAACTGTGTCTATACATGTATTTTTTTGATTTTTTGGGTACAAAATAAACTGCTTACGTGAAAACTAGTTTAAAATTAAAAATTTTTAGCTATAAAAGTTGAACGTTAAGTAAATTTCAAGTACTTAATAATTTGTAAATTTTCAGCTTAATACATTTGAACTTTTTAAATTTTAAGATTTTATTATATTGAATATCCGGCTTTTTGACTAAACAAATTTAATTTTATTGACATTTATAGAAAAAAAAAAACATATAGTAAATTGTGAAAATTTAAAATCGCTCCGCTCAGAATCTAAAAGTGTTCTAGTTGTCATTCTATTCGATTTCCTGTAAAAATGTACAATATTTATGAAATATTGCGCTTACAGAAGGTATACCATGATATGATTGTTTGATATCTTTAGTGTTATTATATTATGGTTCTAAGTTTCTTATTGTGCGCCCATTATTAGGAGATTATAATAATTATTTTACTGGTTCGTTTTATAATAAATAGTTTAACATGTTGGATTATTTTTGAATTTCATATTCATAAATAATATTATGTTACATATTTATCAGTATTATATGATATGCATACTTAACAGGTGATAGTGTTATAAAAATGTGTACATTTTATTATTGACAGCTTCCATCCTTCCACCCATCCCTCCATCGCTCGTTAATCTGCTTGCAATCAAATAATGGCTTACCAAGTTTTTGATTAACGTGATTATGTACACGACATAGCCAATTGGATAGGGTTTGTTGAGAATGTGTTTCAGGGGGTTGATTAGTTAAACTGTTGAAAAAAAAGATTTATAATTGCACATTTTGAACATGTTTATATTCACTTTGACTTATTTCCAGGGGAATGTATATTTTAAACATGCATATCAAACTATACTCAGTCTCGTTAAACATACTTTTCAAAATTATTCAAATTACAGAAAAGTATTTAAAAAGTATTAAAAAAGTATTTATACATAATTAAACTTTTTTTACATTATTAATCTACAGTTGGTAAATATTCATTTTCATGTTTTATACTCATTTTGTGCAGCACCTTACTCCATTTGGTGTAACTTTAAAGTATATTTTCTATGTCAAGGTATTTAAAGTAAAAATATTTTATTAAATAGCTTACGTAATTAAAATTTAAATAGAAAAAATGTAAGCTATAAATAAAAAAAATATTTTGTTTTTGAATACAAATACTCCAAAATGTATTTTTTACAAGACTGACTACCCTTACTTCAAATAAAGTACAAATGAACCTAACTTATTACTTACAGCATTGTGAAATCCCTTGCACATGTTTCACAAGGATAAAGACGGCCGATTAGTCTAAAGAAATTCTCCATATCTTTCCGTTGTTGGTCAGAGGGCTCGTCTGGATAGTATGCCACCATCGAGTGAAGAAGACTCCAGGTATGATATCCTATAGGTGTAGAATAAATTAAGTACAGGCAACAAGTCTACAGAATTCGTATTTTACGATGCTCCATACCCAGTTAATTTTACATAAAAACTAATTCAAAATATTAAATTAGTTGAATTAAAACGCTTGAAGCGTAATTTAAAAAATAAAATCTTACTCTATTTGTATTATACACGTACGAAGAAGACACAAAAGTATTACTTATATAATTTAATATTTGTTATATCTTAACATTTATTATTTATAGCAAAATTAGTTAGGATTTTCTATAAACGTCCCAGTACAATGTGAGTGATCAATAAATATGTTTTTTAATACTGAAAAGTTGTATTTAGAACATTTTTTCATTAATATAACATAATATACTTCCAAATTTGAATAAACTAGACAAATAAAAAAAATAATATTTTGCAACCCTTTGATGGCGAAAAGTTAGTGTCAAAAGAGTTTGGGACAAATTTAATAACAAAAATTCGGAAAATTTTAAGTGTAACAACACAATTTCGCTTTTTTAAAATCGGATTTGGTCCAATATGACAATTCAATCAATAAAACTGAACCTTGTAAACGAACTTTGGCTGTTCGTCATAATTAGTTGTCAAGACATTATTAAGCAAACCCAGCACCGACAACTTATTTTCGTTAAGTGTATTAGGATTTGGATTACAATTAAAAACAATTTCTTTATAAGCTATTATTTATCTAATTTTTTAAAATAACATATTTATACATCTTTATTTTACTGTATACAAGTACTATAATTTATCATATTATTTATTGATTTTTAAGCTAGGGCTTATTTATAGATTTTTTAAGTAATAGAAGTCATCAGCCTTAGCTGTAACTGTTTATACTACATAATATAATAATATAATATGGAGGTACCTACTAAAAGGTGATGTTTGAGTTTTACTTAGTTCCCTGAAATGAAAGCGATAGCGGTGATATTGTGATAACTGATAAGCATTGATGATCTGTTCTTATGTTTAGAATAACTTATTAATACAACTTAAATTGTACATTATGTGATATTTTCTTACCTAATTTTGCTTTATCCAATGGACAGTCTTCCATATAATTGTTGTAAATTTTTTAAATTTTGAATTGTTTAAAATTGTAAACACGTATATTACTATAGGCAACAAACATAACTTGTGTATCGAATCTACTTTTTACTTAATTTTAACTAATAATACCTAATAATGATTTCATTATTACTGATTTCATTATCATTTTTCTTTAAAATCAAAAACCAATCTATAAAATATATTTAGTATTAATATTAATTTCATAAAATACTCTGAAAAAATGACCTACTATTTATAGTTTCGTTTATAGTTGAAAAGCGAAGTAAACAATAGAATTATATTTATTTTTTTAGTCAATTTATTTTGTTTCTAATGAAATTATATATATTCTTTGAGAGTTAATTTGTAACTTCTAACTCCAACGTTAGTAGTCTAGATTCATATAACCGTTAATTCTAAGTGCAAGATGTGTTATAGTTTTACACATATAATATTTTATTCATATATTTTAAAACGATTAATACGAATTGCATAGTCTTTATTAGTCAGAACATAAAATTTAACGGTTCAACAACAAAATACATATATTGGAATATCATTGGGTATTATAATGAAAAAAAACCCAATAATTAAGTTATTAAATTATTAAGTTTATAACCATCTTTTATATACATACAACAAAAAGCATGGATGAAAAAATGAGAAGAAGAACATGGTTAGGAACACTTGAATGTGAAAAAGTTTATGATAATAGACAATAGTCATGCATACCAAGAACATATTTTATTGTTAAAAAAAATAGAATACGGACAAACAAACGAACCGTCAACAGTGCCAAAATTGAGGGCCATTTCCAGAGAAATACAATTATTACAACTTGTATGTGGTCTAAACTGTTAAGTAGGATGTTAGCGAAAGAAAAGCTTTTGAATAATATAGAATATATCATATAAATTGTTCAAAAGAAGTTAACGAGATGTCAAAACCCAATCTCTTGTCTCCATCTTACAAGCGTACATCATAACAAATGTTCGTTTAGCCGAATCAATTTTGTATTGTTAGCTTTTAAATTTATTAAAGTAAATTGACCTACTATCAAACTTAAAGGTAAGAATACTATTTAAGGCACCACATGAGTTTTAACTCATATTTTAGTTTTAATGTGAGTTATACTAAGTAAAATATTACAATTTTAAAACGTTCATAACTAGTATTGAATTTGAAATATCAATAAAAATTAGAAGACTATGATTTTTCTTGTATAATAATATATACTTATCTTTAAATTAAATAGTCAGTCAATTCATTGAATATTATTCTTACAATGAAAAATTGTTTCTACTTAACATAGATTTGTTATATTCTACGTTTGTAAGACGGAAAGAATACAATATAACTCAGGGTCTCCTTAATGCTATTTAAAATGATTAAATTTTAAATAGGTACGCTTAAGATTTGAGTGTCAAAGCAGAGAATTTTTGATATTAAAAATATTTACATCACATGAAAAACTTTCACGCACTTCAATTGACAGAAATATATCTTTTTTTGGGTGGAAGGGGGGGAGGATCTTAAGACTTTTTGTAGTTTTTTTGGCAATATTTAGAGTTATAATAATAAAATTTCCCCCATCCATATGAAAAAAAATACCTAAACAAAATCAGAGTTTCTATTATAGACAATATCGTTTTTCCTGTAAATTAATTTTTGATCATTGAAATTGTTTGAATTCATGTTTCTGTAATGTCTATCTTACGGATTTCGTTTCACTTAACTAGAAATACACTTTTACCCTTCATTGAAATATATCCTACTCCGACACCCTTAAACCCGAATTAACGACGAGTATATTAAGTATAATTTTATACTGTTACAATGTTGTTACAATAATTGTTATGATACTAGATTGAAGTAGTCTAAGGTTTTTGTCGAGTATGAATGTACGTGACAACTTGGCTACTTGATTACGAAGAAAAATGGTATGTTGGAAATTATAAAATGATAATAACGTGGTACTGTGCGGTCGCTGTGGTTAGGCTGGAGTTATCGTCTCTGGTGCAGTTTCGGTGGCCGTCGTGTCGGCAGCTTTGCTGCCTTCGTTTGTCGGTGGAGCTGCGGCGGAAGTGGTCGTATCAGTCGATTTGCCATCTGCACCACCTTCGTTGGTGGTGGACGATCTCAGATACGGCTCGGTCTCAGGATGGTGGTTTTCAAGTTTCTCGTCCATCTCGTCAAATAGCTTTTCACGATTAGCTATGGTAAATTTCGTGTTTTCACGGAACTTGGTGGACATGCCGGAGGCAAAATTGGACACTCCACCAGTCAAGTCACGCACTAACACCACTCTTTTAGCCACGTTGTTCGCCAAATTTAACCCAGTGGACAACGTCTCACCTGTTGTCGCGACCACCGAGATTGCGCTGTTATAAGTGCCGAACAAGACGCCAATCGCGGTTAACGCGGCCTGGCCAACCGCCTTCAGTACCATACCCAAGCCATCGCCGAAGGTCGATAAGGACTTGTACAGCTCAGTTTTGGACTTAGAGAACATCGATGGTTTGCCATCTTCAGTTGGAGGTGATTGATCGGCGGCTTTGGTGTTTGGGTCAGTGGTTGCAGCGGTCGAGTCGGCGGCTACGGTGGTTGGTGTAGTGTCTGCAGTGATCGCATCGGCGTCCAAATTTTCGTCAGGTGCACAGCGACCAACCTGCAATGTAAAAATAAAAATATTATATCGTTCGAAAACTCTGTCCATTTCAAGGAATACGTTAGTAAGAGATTAGAGATAGGTTCTCAAGTTCTTGAAAGTACGAACTTACAAGTTACAGACTCGTTACTCGTTAGCCTTCAGGATATTCAAACTAACCGAAGTCAGCAATATTTGATTTTGAACTCTCATCCGAATCTCTCGCACAGTTTAAATTCGTCGACACTCATACTTTGCAGATTATTATTTATTAATTTTACGGTGTATTACAAAAATATATTTTTTTTTGTATAATTCCAACACGCAATAACAGTGAAAGAATTTAGCAATAAACTTGGAAAATTAAATTAAATTTTTAAAAGTTCAACAAAAGTTAGGCTACCTAATCTAAAATATGAGCAGTTGAAGAAACCATTAATTTCGGATTCATGAAAATTGAAGTTTGGAATATCTATTTAAATAAAACCAAAAACATAATAAAACTGATGAGGAATTATGAGATCACTATGAGGAATTACTCCGAAAATTGTTTCGTCTCAGTACTATACTCAGTACTTTTTAAATTTCTGGATGCCATGTAAATTTGACTAACTTTTAGGCTAGAGTAGTTTAGTCTTTACATTAATTAGTTTTCAAACATCAGATATAATATAATATCTAAATTTATAACAATGATGTACAATATCATGTCTCATTCGAAACTAACCAATTACTGCATTTTTAATATTGATGTTCCTATACATTTTACATATTATTTTATCATAATTTTTCAAAATAAATTATTTTTATTAATTTTGAGTTGTACATTTATACAAATCTAATTACAAATGTATGAATCTAACGTAATTATAATTTTGTTTTACACGTTAAAATAAACTCCTCGAAACGCAGTTATAGGCAACACAAATAACTGCAGATAGTTTTTTGCAGTAGTTAAGAATAGTCAAATCAATTTTATTACATAGTCCCATGTTTAGAAGTTACATTTTAAAGTAAATTAATTTCAATTATTTGGCTTATTTATATTTTCTACAATTCGTTATTCGATATTCATTGTAGATAACAGTTATTTAGGTTTCTTTTAGATTATGTCATATATTTCCGAATGGTTAAATTTTGCAACTTTTTACAGCTGTCTTTTTAGTTAAGCATTTGTCTAATTTATCAAAGACATATTGTGATGTAAACTATGATAAGCTTAAGATGTTGAATTATACTTATAGGTCATAGCTATGGTCCTTTCTTATATTTATTTACACATTGTTTTATCAGGGCTTGAATTGCATTTAAATCGAAAGGTAAAAATTAAATTTTAAATCATACAATTCATGTAAATGACTTTTTAATTAGAAAATGAATTGAGTTTAAAATTGCATTAATATTCAGAAAAATATTAAATAAATACACTTATTATTATTTTTAAGTTTAATTTAGAAAAAAATAACATCAATAGGCAAAATTTAAAAATTTAATTTCAATTTCTGACTTTGGTTTTTTAAATGTAATAATAATTTCTTATGGTATTGTATTTCTGACTATATTTCTGCTATAGTGGTTTAACATCGCTAATTATCTTGCGAATGGCTTTTTCTTTTAATTGTCATTGTCTGTTACCTACATTCTACATTAATCCTAACCAAGTTTACCGATATTCACGAAGAGACTAGTAAATCTAAGTGTAATAATTGTATAATGTCATTAGCGATATTATGTAAATATATTTTTAATGAAATTTGATGTTTTTTCAACTTTTTTTAAAGTGCTCAATGCTCATAATGTATGTACTAATGCACTATGAGTATTGTACCAGAGCCGTCTTAATTCAGTAAACTTAATTTTGTTGACACCAAAGTAGATAAACTTAAACAAGAACCTTATTCGACTCTGTCTTAACTGTAAGTGGAATCGAAAACAAAATTATTGTTATGGACTTATGGATTTAACAAAACTTATAACTTAAATATGTTTGTTTCACAATTACAATTTTACCTTGGTAAGACGAAAACATGTTGCTGTACGGTTTTAAGCTATGTGGTTTTTGACAAAATAATGCATATTCGTTACCGAACAGTATCAGTCACACAAGTATTTCTTGTTCAGAAATTTGTAAATACGAAAGACAACATTAGAAAACAACACATTTTTACAGATAAAATATCATGTTACTTTTTATTTAGAAATAGGTTCACAAAATACAGAACTTTAGAAATAAACTATTATAAAAATAACTGATTTATTTTTTAGTTACTATGATAAATAAATTATTATAAATTTATAATGTACAATTATATAAATATTTTGAAATGTATTGTGTTAGGCAGTAGAAACTAGAAACAAAATGTATAGGATTATATAATAACATGTAACTTATAATATATTTCGTAGTTAGTAATGTATAGGTACAAACTTATTATTCTAATACAATAAAAACAATATGCACAATTACCTCGTACATTGTAATATATTATCTTATTTTCTTTTGTTGTTAAATATAATATAAGTTACAATGTACAATAAACCTATTATTGCAGTGGTTCTCCAACTTTTTTGATCATACAGCCCTCAAGTTGTGTAAAAAATCCAAAGAGCCCATAAACCAGGAATATCAATTTAAAAAAAAAAATTATAATACCATTATAAACAACGATGATTAAAATTTACAATCAACTAGGCAATAATATTAAATTTGGATGTGCTGCCGTCCTTTGTTGCTCTCACAGAACCTCTACCCATGGAACATAGTTCAAAAACCACTGTATAGTATATTGTAGCCTGTAGGTATAAGGTTTTGATCATAACTATATTATTATACATTTTGTTATTTCACTAGACTAATTAAAAATTTGTAACGAATACACGCATTCTAACTTACAGGTATAAATAATATTATAATATTATAATGACTATGATATGTCATTTGAAAAATTGATCTCAGCGTCAATGGATCTGTTAAAGACCCCCATCGTTAATTATTGATCTATTATTTATACACTTATAATACAGATACTATACAAGTTGAATTATTGTTTTCCACTATAGTTGAATTTGTGTAACTTATTTTATAATTTGTGTTTTAAAATTTGGACGAGTTTTCAAAGTGCAGATATGAAATGGTAAGACCATATTATACATTTATACTATATTATAGATTGTGACTTATGAACCAAGGTCAATTTCTTTCGTTTTAATTTCTAAACCATTTTATTCTTTTTTTAATCTGCCCTGGTAACCTGATAATCTGATAAGTGATGATACATTAGGTGCACAAACATTTATTATCCCAGCTCGTAAACACAGGCCTAAAGACGATAACATTATTCATGTTTTCTAGTCATTTTGTTGGTATGTTTTTTTTAAGAACAGTGATGAGGTTAAGAGCTTACGAGTGGTAGGGAGGAGGGTGGGAAAACTAAGTCCAAAATTTTATTTTTCAGATATTTATGCTATATTATTAAGCCGAAAAAAAATATTTACTATATTTTAGTGAGGAGTGCTTTGGATGGTACACAGTTTTGACTAGGTGTTACTAAGAGATGACACCCCTTTCGTAGCTTCTCGAAAAAATAATTCTAAAATACCGTCCCTGTTCATATAAGTTATTGCGATTAGTCAAATAATGGTATTTGTAACATTGATATCTTAAAAAAACTTGAAAACCACTAAATGTATAAAAATTAAAAGTGCCTGTTTTCTTATAACCATAGACCATATATTATACTATTACGCAAGTAACGAGTATATGGAAAGCGGCATGAGATAAAGGGCCCTTTTGGTTACTGAGTTACTCATAACATATTGTTTGGTATTGCAGGGTAGTAAGTTACTTATATGTATAGATAGTTGTATTCTGTCCTCAAGACAGCCTTCATCACTGTGAGATGTTTTACCTCTTGATGATGTGGTTATACAAATTATTTGTCTAGTAGTATAAGGTCTAGAGTATAACCTGCTGAAGAAAACGTACTATTAAAATATGAGATAATATGACGGTTTTACGGGGATTATATACAAGCTAAGGAACACAATTTTCAAATAGTTATCAGAACAGTGGTTAGTGTGGCCCCATAGTTTTGTTTCCCCTATAGTCAATCGCTGAAGTAGAGTAGGTGTGCAGCTGACGTCTATAACATATTATTGTGGCGCATGCGCGTGCATAGTAGGGCTCTCGATGTTGTTGGATATCACGTGTTATGCAAAGCACGCTTGACTGCGCTATCCGAGTGGAAAAAATGAGACCGGGCCCTGCTGATCAGTGGCCGTGGTCAGCGGTGCCGCCGGAGCGCTCGTCTCGACCGTGGACGGCCGCAGGCGGTCCCCGCTCTCGTTCAGCTTGGCTTTGAGCACCGCGTACGCCTGACTCCTGACCATCGAGTCGTGGGCCACGTTGCTGGCCACCGCGTTCACCGCCACGTCGACCGCCTGGTGGACGCCGGACGCTCCGTACCCGATCACCGGCACGTTGGCCAACCGTTCGGCAATCGAGCCGCACGCCGCGCCGCCGGCCTTGAGCAGCTGGACAGAGACGTTCAGGGCCGCGTCCCACAAGTGGTTGACGGACTCGCCCGCCGACAGTAGCAGCTTGCCGACGGTCCACCAGACTTTGTTCGACACTCGAGCCGTGTCCCGCGCCAGTGCCTCGGCCGTACGCTGCGCGGAATCCAGCAGCCGGAACGGTGGCGTCGACGAGGTGCCCGGCTGAGGAGGCTCTGGGAATTCCCGTTCTTCCAGCGGCCTACCGCTGCCGACCTTGATAAAACAGACATATAAAAACAAAACCACAGAACGACGACGGAACACGCACGGAATCGCGATCACTATAATATTGTACATATTATGGGCACAACTGCAGCTGGTCGTCCAAGTCGCGGGTTAAGTGGCGCGTAAATGCATAATATTATTAATGTTTTATGATCAATGCTAAAACGTTAACCTTGCATGAAAATCTCATGTCAAAACCACAAGACACTATAGTTCAATAAAAAGTAACTTAAAACGAAACAAAACAAATCGTCATATAATAATATACAAGTTTAACGTTAATTATTAAGCACAACAAAATTCTCAAAAATATTTATGACTTCGATTTTTGAGACCTTTTATACTTCTACAACGGGTATAATAATATACGAATTCCTCTAGATTATATTTTCAGTTGGTAAAGGAACCGTTCTAAAATGCCATTAAAAAAACCGACATTTTAAAAAACCGTAACGAATGATTTTTGAAATGTTTATTTTCGTAGTTAATATTAACTGGCTTGTATAGAACCGAGTTAAAATAAGTAGATAGCTACAAATTCAATTACATTAAGAATTTGATTATTAGTTGTAAGTACCTAGGTAATTCTTGTGGTTTTTTGTCAAATGAAAAAAAAATTGACATTTGTTATAAAGTTAAATATAAAAAATAATAGTTACTTTCTAGTCGTTCTTGCAAAACATTTTTCAGGATGAATAGAGCAAACAACAGATTTAATTAATTTTAAATCATGTAAAGAAGTAGTTAAAAATACATTAATTATTGTACAACGAAATCAATTAATTAACTCCCGGTACCTACCTATATAATTATTTTAAATATAAATATATTCAAATTTTGCCTCAAAATATATTTTTCTAATTGGCATACAACAATTTATAAATATATTAAATAACTAAAGAGGTAACAAAATACTTTCAAATTCATAAATTATGTAGTTGGATTGAAGTATGAACGAAATGTACCATAGTAAAATGTATTGTAATTTATTTCTCTAGAGTCAACACTACAATTTTACATGGGTCACGTGCAATAACCAGGTATCACAATGTGTTTTTAAATTGTATTAATTAAGTACTTAAACTAATTTAACTATAAACATTTTTAAAATATGTGTACGTAGATAGATAACTCTATAATATTCAATTATTGAAATATTTTATAAATTATTTCTTTTTAATCCGAAATTTAACCATCCACTTTTTAATGTCTTCTTTAAAATTAAAAACTGTGGAGATACCCGGTTACTTAAATTATTATTTACTTATTTTTTTATTATTTTATCCTTTTGATAAAACCTACTACAACATATATATTTTTAAAGTATCTATCTATAAATGTTGAAAAATTATGTATTTTTTTGGGATAAAATAAGTGAGATTGAAAATTTAAATAAAAAAAGCGAAGGGATGCCCGTGACCAGCCCACATCGACCACTTGCAGTTTTTTAGGATGGAAATACAAAATATAAACATGAATACTCGTAATATATATTGGATAGGTAGTTACATAAATATAAAAATCACAATTTGCATTAGGTACCTACTATAAAACAAAGGAGAAAAAATCAAGTTTTTGAATCAATCGAATGTTTTTAAAATATTTTAGGTGACAAAACAATTTATATGATTAATGTAATAATATTAGGTTCAAAACAGTAATATTTGTAAAAATATTTTTGAACATTTAGTGTTGTAAATCTTTTCATATTTTCCATGCATTTATAAAATAATAATAACGAACATGTTCAGTGGGGCCCGTTATCTTCTTGAAGAATAAAATAAAAAAATAAATAAAAATAAAAATTATATAACTTTAACATAATTGCTTTACGCGATAATAAGGAAATAAAGAACATAGAATATGAACTCTAACTCTATCTAGTGGTGACAACTGTAATGTTTTATCATTAGCAGCCACGGATAGAGTGCTATAGGTAATACAGTTTCAACAAATTCGACAATATTATAGTCATTTGGTGTTTATATAGTTGGAACAAAATATGCACTTCACAATCATATTACATGAATGTCCTGTTACATTGTATAATTAGGTATATTGTAATAATATGTGTACTTAATAGGATTGTATTTGATACAGATTTCACTGTTACTCATTTAGAGTAGGGAAGTCCTTTTCCATATACAAACAATTTTGAGAACGGCTGTCAGACTCACAATTCGAATAATAATAATAATAACAATACAAAAGAAATAGCAATAATAAAGCAATGAATAAGGCAACTAACAATTTGAGGAGTATATCATTAATAAAATTATATTTTATATTTGAGGAAAAAGAATGTAATGCATCAATGAAAACATAGAGAAAGGAAAACAATAAAAAATGTTTTTAAAAAATATAGATTTAGTACCCTACTGTTTATTTTTATAATATAACATACTAGTGATGGGTGCTGAATTTTAAATTTTTTTTATAAACAAGCATATAGGTATACTCGTAATACCAGATACAATAAATTACTATTAATTTATAGTTGATAACATTTATTACAGTCCGTGGTTTGTATGAAACATATTTTTTACAAGCCGAACCACTTATATAAAAAAATAAGTTTATTTAATTTATTTAATCTGTTAGTTGCAACGACAATGATTATTTCAAAGTAAAGAAATACATTGATATTAATTGTATACAACATTTTATTTTCATTAGCTTCAACTATTTTTAACACTAACAATAAACATTTTATAAAATTATATAAATAATCGTGACATGAAAAACATTCTTTGGCTATTAATTGTCTATTGATAAAATAATAAAAAGTTATAACTACGCAGAATCAAATTCATTTTTATTTTAAAAAATGCAATTATCAAAGTATAGTTTCATTACCCATGTGACTGTAAAAATTATATTTTGCTTTTGTAAATTTTGTAATACTCAAAATCTTTTATAGTATTTGATTGATAAAACGTTGATAAGTACTAATGGAATAATAATAACTGTATTCTGTTTTATTATATAAGATATGAGAATTGAAATTTTAAACTGATTAATTTTGATAAGGCCATAGAAACTTAACTAAAATTAATAATTATTGAACATCCCAAATATATTGAAGTATTTTAGGTCAAGGATTTATAATTTAATGTTAAGAACTCTTCAATAATTTCAAAACATGTACATTTAAAACTTAAATATTAAACAACTATCGCATCACATCTTTGTTATTCAAATTAAAATGTATGTACCTTGTACAACTTTACGCAGTAAGTCATGAAATGAAGAACATACACTTTACAATTGTATTAATGTATTATAAATTATAATTTTAATATATAATTATTTGTATAAGATTTTACGTCAATGGTGTTTTCCTGGAGGAAAAATTAATATTTGCTAAAGCTGAAATCTAACAATAAGTTTAAAAGTTAATAAGTAAAGAATAATAAGTTATTACTCATAAGTAGTCATAACCATAACATTGGACTCGTAATAAATGCTATACACTTTTTTAAGATTAAAATAACGCTATTTGAAAGATATTGTAAAATGTAACAATGTATAGTAGATATAATTGCATTATTAAAAAAATTAATTGTAAATTAAAAAAGGTATTTACTTATGCATTTACAAATGTTATAAAATTATAGATATTTTTAAATAAATACGATTATAAGAATATTGATCCATTAGTATAGTATATATTAATTATATGTCATTATGCTAACTATATAAGTAAAGTTTTAAATATAATAAATATTAAAGATAGATATTATAATACATACTCGTATAATATACGCCACCAACAAGATGATCATTAAAGATCTATTATGACCAACAGGATAATGCATCTGAGTTTGTGATTTTATTTGTATTTTAAGATTTTGGCCACGATAAAGTACAAACTGTCACTGAAGAAAATGTGTTTAAACTAATAGCAAGTTTAGCTATTACGCACTCGGTGACAATAAATATTGGTTTGCTGTTGTCATTTGACTTGTCATAATACCATCAAACACATGTAAAATACAAAGGTACACATAATAATAGGTACACTGCATTAATGAACAATCACGATGTACTTATGACAAATACCATTTGTTCAATTGACGTGTCATAATTAATAATATTCAGAACTTTACATGTGTCCTTGTCACAACTCTGACATCACACCAAAGTATTGTTAGTAACTATTTTGCACTTTTATAGTTATACCAGTATCTGAATATCGGCATTTTATATAAAAATACATTTGTTAAAATCAGGAAATATAAATTAAGGTTCAAGTTATTAATTTTAAAAAAAAAATTTGAACATTTATAACTTGAATTTGTGGTGGGTGGTATTTTTTATAAAGTGCGCTTATTGGATACGCATTAAATGTTTAATCAATCATTATTGACCTTTTAAAGTTGTTTTAAATAAAAAACGTTTTAGTTTCCTTAGCAAATTGATTAAGAAATAGAAAAAAATATTTTTTTTTTTCAATTTCAGATTTGAAAATTCCATTTACGACCTACAACATGGTGTGGGCATTATATTTCAAATCCCTACTATCCATGAAATTTTAATTTTCTTCGTGACGTGAGAATAACACGATTAAGAAAAATAAGCTGAACTTGCGTCTACTACATAATTAGTTTTGAGTGTACCTATGTACCTATCACCATTGAGTAACAAATTGAGATTCTTCATTGTAATGCTTGTGTTAATTGTAGGTTAATAAAAATCGATTCTAAGGTGAGGTACATTATATTTTATAATAATTTTGTTTATGCTGTACATTTCCGTATTTTGTATACAAATAATAAAACATGAACACTCATGGGGAAGGTTGCCTATTTCGGTGAGGAAACCCTCTCATATAATTGTTAAAATGATTTTGAAACTTAGCAGGGTGAAATAATCATATGTATGTCGGTACCCCGTAAATTAGAGTTAATATAGTTAATACTTAATATAGATTCATTGTATAAATACATTTCAGTTAGTCTAAATATTATAAAAATTGTATAGTGCATAAAAACTATACTACAGAGTACAGAAAACGGTGGAAAGTTTCATTTCTCTACGATTACAATTTATTAAATTACAAGAGAATAACCAACAGTGTTAGTGAAAAATTATTATTTGTAAATTTTATTGTAATTTAAATATTCAATTTTGTTGAAGTTTGAACTTATAAAAAATCTATAAAAAAATTGTGACAAGGTATTTTTAATGTTTTTTGATTCATGTAAGGAAATATTATAAGGAAGTTTGTATTCAATAATTAATCTTTTTGACCATGAATCAGCATAGGTAAATCAGGAAAAATCAAAACATGTAGATATTTTAAATAGGTATATATAATAATAATTCAAATAGAATTAAAATAATTTAAAAATTGTATCATATTGACTAGAAAATGCTCACCTTGAAAAATAAGAGTTTTGTGTTGTGATATTATATTTAGAATGAATGACTAATATTTGAACAACGATTTTTGTACGAAGCATTGTTTATCGAAAAATGGTCATTTATTTTCAACGAGTGTGACTTAAACGCAAAAGATTTATTTTTTTGAAAAACTTTTTCTACAAGAAAAGATATTGAAGTTGAAGCCTGAAGGTCTCACTGCTCTAAAAAGTAATGATTGACACAACAAAAACATCCATGATTGTAGAATCAGTTCATTAATTGATCCTCTCAGAATCTAAAAATGTTTTCGGTATCTATTATCAGTTATCAGTAAGTTACACCATGTTGATTGTTGAAGTATACCATATTATAATATGTTCGCTGCCTTATATATACGAGGCGGTCCAATCCTTAAAAATAACGGTAATGGTCTATAATTTTAGTCGCAGATCGTAGATCTAAGTATCTAACTAAATAGCAAGAATGGATGAACTGTTGCATTAACTATAATATTTTTTTATCAATGGAAATATTGTAGTTACTATGATTTTTAGTAGTATATTACTACTTATTATTATCTGTGAACTGTAGTGTATATACGCCTTCACCAGTTCAACGCCGTGAGTTATGGTGATTGGTGATAGGTGACCGTAACTAAACTAAGGCCACTTAAACTGTTATTTTCCCTGGTCGAATTTTCTTAGTCTGCCGCCTACCTTTCAAATACTTTCAGTGCAAAGTAAATAATTTTCAGATAGGAAAAAAATCATAATTTTGTAAATCTAAAAATCACTATAATCCATTCGATGTCCAAAGCATGTTATTTTCATTTTATTCAGCTATGAGAACAATATTTAATATGAATAACCACGCGAAAAAACAATCCTATATTTTATTGTTTGTCAAAAAATAATTTTATAGTTTGGAATTATCTAAAATAATATTCTTCACGTGTACTTAAATTGTTTTCTTTTTACACACATCCGTTTCTTTTATTTTTTCCTACTTCTCTAACAACATTTAATAGTATACTATTTTTGTTAGATTGTTTACCTTTTGTCTCTGCCTTAAATTATTTAAATACCAAACATATATTATGATGCGCATTCCCTATTATGTTGGCAACGCGATAGTTTAATTATTTAACAATTAGTTTGTGTTTTGAATACTAAACAATATTCACAATATTTGGTGTGCGTAATCTTCTTATGGAGAATCACTCATAAAGGTGCATTTCGTGTTACCAGCCTATATAGATTCCGAGCTTTCGCGATCGAATAGTTTAGTAGGTAAACAAATTCAACTAATTGAGATTTGTAAACCAGATTATAAGAGATTATTAGTAAGTGCATACGAGCTCATGAGATTATGAAGGTATGACTCAAAATCCAGTAGGTGATATATATTTAAATCACATTAGGCTCATATTATTAATACCAGCTTGAAATGTACGCGTTTGATTTCCGGATCGCATACTCTACTGATTGTAATAAAACTCACCATCGCGTTAACCTTAAAAGTGACCCTACGTGTAAAAACATGGTTAGTGTGACTGACACAATGTATGGTTTTCCAATGTTATATTGAGATATCACATAGTTTTGTAAAATTTAACAAAAAAAGTTAATACTAAATCTGAAGTTTCAGAGTGATGACCACGACGCAAATTATAATACATAAATCCATACATATATATATATATATTATAGTTATTGATTCCGTATTATACAATTTGATGAGGATAATAAATATTTCATTGAAATATAAAATCAAAAATTATTGTTTTATTGTTTAAAATGTTTATTTTCCATAACAGTTAAGATACTGTCAATAACATGTATTCGAATAACTACTATAATCTATGGGTACTTTAAAAATTCAAATTTCTATCAGTTTGTCCAACCAATAATTTCTTTTCAACTTTTTATAATAATATGACATACAATTGGATTTGGTAAATATTAGGAAACTTTATAAAAAAAATAAGCTTTCAGATCTTTTCAGTCTAATTGCACAGAACATTTCAGAATATAACTGCAATATAACATACAGACAATATAATACAATTTTATTGTTTTAAGTTTGGAAACTTCATCAGCGTACCTACGTGTATAAATATATTATAAGACTATAATACATGTGGGATGTATACAATATTTCACTAAGGAAAATAATTTTGTACCAACTACTCACAATGAACAATATAATATTCATAGGTAGTAAATTATCTGCATATTTGATGTATTTTGAGTATATGATGATAAATGTCAGTTGCATATATTATTGTATTATACTGATTACTCATTTGTTTTTGAAATATTTCATTGAAACATCGATTTTGGTGATAAAAATATGGTTCAATGGTATTATGCAATCAACTATTAAGAACAAGAAGTGTCGTCGTGTTCGTGCATAAAATAATATATTTACCGTGTTTATGAATGCCATATGAGTGTATCTTTATTTACCATCAACCAATACAAATTCAAATATTTATGAGAAATGAATGAACTTTTAAGTCATAGAACATTATATTACTTCCTTATCATTGTACTCATATACAAGAGTAAGAGGCTTATATTTTTTTTTTTTTTTTAAGTTTTATAATATATTAGAAAATATATTGTATTGATGTGTTCTGATCAGGATAGTTGATGAAATAAAACACTTGTTGTCAAAATACTATAAAGAATTGTAAATACTATTTCATAAACATTTATCTTCTTCACATTAATGAACAGTACTTTTTTATGTGTCTACATTATAAACTATATAATTTATTAACAATAATAATAATTTATTTTTACAAGTGCGTTAATCGTGTGCTAATAAATTATCATAGATACGGTCATTTAATTTTTGAATCCTTATTTAATGCTATTTATAAAATGTGTTACAAAAATTTTCGACGTTAGTCTTGTATTTAACCTGTGGAGTGGACTTTGTGGTGTTTGTCACCCAATTGCCAATATATATTGTCGTTTGACGCTCACCACTAGTACCTATATATATATAGGCGCAATACTTCACCTGTCTAATGTTTGAGAATTTATATAATTAAGTTCCAAACCTTTATAGAAATTAGTAGTTTAACTTTTAATTAATATCGGTCATTTCAAACTTTTAAGAAACTCAAAAAAACTTGAATTTTTTCAATATTGAGTTCAAGTAACCACAAAACTTCTACCTATATATGATGGTATAGCATAACGAATGTGGCTTTCTATAATTTAGTAACAAATAACAATTATATAAAATGAAATTAGTTAATAGGTTATCAGAAAAAAATAGATGTGTGGGGGGAAGGAAAACCACCTTGAGACACTATGTATGAAGTATTATTTATGTGCAATAATCGTTTGTTCTTCATTTAATATGACATATTATTCTTGTGGTTTGCTTGAGGAGGTAATGGCTGTTTGGCTTCGAAGTATTTCTTAGCCCCTTTGACGCCCACGCGGCCGACGTCGATCTCTGGCAGGGCACACAACACTCGGCGAGCCCATTCCACGTTTTTGCGTTGCGTTATCAGAAACTGCGAAAGTTAAATTATTACAATAATATTAATAAGAACAAACAAACCCATATACACAGCACGTAAATTGGTGCTTTTTCGAGGATGAGGTCGACTAACGTAAATTATTAATTACTTCAATACAGTCTGCAGGGGGGTAGGGGGTTATCGTTTTATTTAGATATTTAATTTACACATTTGCCAATATCTTAAATGAGAATTGTATACAGTCATCGCATAGAGTTGCAGATGGCGCTAGTACAAGAAGCATATACGTGTTTGCTGTACATTGAAAAATAGTACATATGTACTAAATAACAAAGCATGCAGATGATAATACTCGATCAGGCGTAAGTGTTTCGCGAATCACTGCTCGATCGATAACCAATCACGGTTTCAGATCGCACGGAAACAAAACCATAGAAACAATGTCAAAGTGAACAATAATTTTACACGTCTTTATATTATATTTACAAGAAACATTTCGGTGCATAACGCTAGTTTTATTTATGACACTTTTAACATTTTTGGCCAACTTTGAGGATGACGCCGTTTTTCAGCGAGACTATTAATAGTTTTACCAATTTCAGCATCGGGTAGTGTGATAATAATTTCCGGCCGTGGAAACTATTTAGAATATAATAACGTCGCATACGAAGTATTTCGAAATCCTATAGGACAACATCCAGCGCTGGTCGTGCACTCAACCGTTTACACAAAGCGATTAAAATATTTAATTATAATATTTAATTTAACGCATTAACCTACAAACAATTTTCTTACGCACCCCCATACGGAATTCCGAGAATCCTAAGAGTTTAAAACAGTTTCATATCGTCCCCATCTTTTCCGATTTTCCGTGTCAACGTGGTATAATATATTGCATTAGTATAACATGCCACCCCAAGCCACACAGAAAAACGTTTAAGCGTTTTTTCTATAGCCATTCATTGTAACATAGTCATTGGGATAATACCTTTAATATTATTTTTTGTGGTATCAACCATTTTCGATTTTGTGTATTATGGCTGCAGTATGCCTTCATATTTTGTACATCGTACGATCTCATTTTCAACTGAAAATCAGTTTTCATGTTGCAATACGAAATACAATGTAATATTGTCGTACGAAATCCTGCATATTATTGTTTTTATTATTTTACTCAGGCGCGCGCTGAGAAATTAAAAATATTATGTCATTTTAGAAATTGGAGTATCTATGTCAGTGTTCACACTTGGTTATTAATTCTAAAAAATTCATTCGACGAATAATTGATATCCTAACCTTTCTCACAGTTAATATGCCGTTATCTATATCACTTAAAAAATGTTTTAAATTTCAATAGTTATATTTTAGTACCTAGTTTCAACTTTAAAGAGGATAAATGATTTTATTTAAAATGGTTTTTAAAGTAATTATTAATAATATTGTCGAATGTTAGAAATAAATTACTTTGAAATATTTTAAAATTTGTTGAGGTTTCTATTCACAAATATTTAACCTATTTATGTACTTAAATGTATTTTTGTATTATTCATTTATTCTGATTTAACATGAGCTACGAACAATAGAATTTATTATAATATGAACTTAAACACTATATCTTAGGGTATCATTTCTTAGTAAGTGCTTAATAATAATCCATAGGTACAAGTAAAACGTTGTAAAAAATAAAAAGGAAGCAAGATTCGTTGTTTTAGAAAAAAATTATGCAGCATTAGCTTATAATTGTAGACATTGTTAAGACTCTAAGAAGACAATGAATAACACAATTTGAAAAAATAGTGGTGGTTTCGCAATACGTGGTCTACATAATTTACATTGTCTACAGAACAATAATTTCAGTACCAGATATTATTATTAACATTGTTATTGTTGAAAATTAATCATTTTTTTACTAGAAGAGACAGCGTTCTATTTGAGTAGCTACTCTTTTGGATAGACTAAAGATGCAGTTTTGTATATTCAATTTTTCCGAGTTCGTTGTAGTACAGGTTCTTACTCTTTTTTAACACGTAATCTGAAATACCAATTATATTTTTTTGATATATATTTTCATTTTAAATCAACAGCATTGTTTAAAATAGGAAAAATTAAAAATTAATTTAATTAATTTAGTCTCCAGAGTTTTTAATTCTTGAATTAAAACAAAGATTTTTTCGAAAACTGGTGTTGCACTAACATAACATAATTCATCGTCTCACAGTGAACCTAAAAAATGTTTGATTTTTATTTGAATGGTTGATTTGAACTAATGTTTTTTTTTGTTACATAAATAAATAATTTTTAACTAAAAATTATATCGTGATAGTATTCTATTCAATTTTAACAGCAAACAGCAAAAAAAAATTAATAGAAGGCATGTAAATATTTAATAAACATAATCACACTGACCTCACGAAAACTTAGTTTCCCATCACCATCTTCATCTGCGTCTTTGATGAGCCGTACAATTGCTGAGTGAGTCCATGGAACACCACGCACCATCATCATTCCTTTGAGGTCTTCGACATCCAAATATCCATCGTTGTCGGTGTCATATCTAATTATTATTATAAAAATTATGCAACTTCTAAGCACACTTCAATGTCTACAATTATAATTAAATTAACTAAAATAAGTTAAATTAGTTATAAAATACCTACGTACAATTTATGGTATTGTGTATGGTTTACGTACTACTTAAACCGGCTGTTACGTATTATTAATTTGTATTTGTATTTCGACACAAAATAATTTACATTTTTCAAACATTTCATACTAAATTGTTAAATAATTGTTTACAATCATCAATAATACAACTAATAGGTACTACTAAATACTAATAATAGTTATTATTCATGTTAATATTTTTCCAATGCACTGTTTTCTATTTTTTTTCAAAGCTTAGGTACACCACCATAGTTTAAATTAGACTAAAAAAAATAACAATAAAGAAAAAAACAAATATTTCAATTCAAGACTCAACCACAAAAATATGAGTTCCAATTATATAATGAATAGTCAGGTATGTTCATGGTAGCTAAAACGAATGCACATATAAAAATATGTAAACATATGCATTGTGTTAATTATGACGGAAAAATTAAGTGCAAATACTTTAAAAGACTATTAATGTAACTATGATAGTACCTATAATAGAATTCAATTAAATTAAAATGCGATGACACTATAGTAATATTAATAATGACTAATTACAAATATCATAATATGAAATATTTTGAAAATTAACATTACCTAATAAACGTCTTTTCGTAACGTTTTATTAAATTTGGTGATAATTCAGGAAATTCTTTTAATATATATTGTCGCTCTTTGATTGAAAGATTTGAAAACATTTTTTAAATTTCAATTTAAACTAATGGTTAATACAAAACTGTTCTTATTTATTTTAATTGTACTCGTTATAAAAAACAAAAAAAGTTTTTTAGCGAAGATATCACTTTAAATAGATGATTATGAGTAGTCGATCTATCTGTTACATATTATTACAAAAACTGTTTTATTTCTGGATAGTGGTGTTATTTAAATACTATTGATCAAAACTTACCGGAAATTCACGAACATAACCATGACCACGGAAAATCGTCATTAGCTATGATAACCCCATTGAAAATTACGAACGGAGTTGTCAAATCATGATGTTTTTTATATTGTCCTCGGCCTTGGTAGTGGGTGAGAATGCGTGCACGGGGACATCGTGCAAAGGTCGGTGATGATTAATCATTTTTCAGATGCATTTCATTGAGTCAAAAAATTGCAGAATAATAGAATAATATATGTTTAATTTGTTTCATGAGCATTCAGTATGAGTGAGTACCTGTTACTTTCTAGTCTCTAGAAAATCCAAAAGACTACCAAAAACGTATTATTATTTTTATATACTTTCCTAATATGACAAATTGACAAATGTATATATTTTGTAGTATATTTCATTCCTTCTCATTTAACTAAATTTCAATAGAAAAAATGCTATACTTACTATAAACTATATACTCATTATTGCAAGACGATAAATACGGCACTGAGTAGTGAGAACTTACCTATTGAATTAAGCAATTATACTCTGCTCTTCGGCAAAATAGTGCCTTACGTCTTTCAATTAAGATTAACTCTTAGGTCTAATTAGCAAAATACTTAGCTATCCTTAAATATACATCATTATAAAATTAATTACCACTTAAGTAATGTGTTTAGTATAATTTTGTTTAGCTCTCATAAAGTGAAAAACCACACATTTCATAGTGAATTTTTAAATTTCAATCAGATGAAAAACTCTTCAATTGTTTTCAAGTCACAGAAAAAAAAATATCGAAATAAAATTGAAGAACCTGCTGAAAATAATACATTCAATAATACTTACTAATATTGAAGATTTATTCTACCTTAATTTCTTTTCCAATTTGTGCAAACTATTGAACCTAAAATATGGAATTGTTTTGTGTTATAAAACTAATTCATATCAATGGTTTAAAAAGTCCCGGATAAATATAATTTAGTAAGTTTCCTTTTGTACTTATTTTTTTTTAATATATGTTTTTCTTTATATTTTTATGAACAATTGTGTAAAATAATTTAGCTAGGTTTAAAATTTTAATAGCCTTTTAATTAAAATATTATTGCAATAACTACCAATAATTACTATTTTGAGAAAAATATTTAACATTTTTAAATCCAAAATTTATACTATGTAATCAAACACAATATTATTATATTAATTTATTATATATTGGGTTTTATTAACAATAAACATAATATGTATTCCCAACCAATGCACTATGGTACAAAATCGGCCATTAAAGTTATCTAGTTATGCCATATACTTTTTTTTTTATCTTTCTATGTCAATATCTTGAAGAAAAGTTAACCACTGTTTTCCATTGCTGAGATTTTCTAAAGATTGAGTTTATCTACGAATTATCAGTATCTTAATATTGACAATACAATTTACTGTATGACATCAAATTATAAATCATAAATACAATTTAAAAATAAAATAAAAATTCTTAAATTCAGCCTAAGTTAAATGATTTTTAAATGTATTATATTTATTTAGTAATATAAATATAAATGATTTCTAAGTATAGTTAAATTATTTACTAACCTAAACTTAGTTAAAAACTTGATAAATATAAATACCTACCAAAAGAAAGAAAATTTATTTTTGTATAAAAGATGCCTTCTTAAAAAATAAATGTTGTATTTTTTTAGTAAAAAATGAATATTATATTATGTTTTGTAGTAAAAATGAACTCTAGTATATACTCTTAGTATGTGCTCTACTACTCTATGTTAAACAGATAGAAAGTAAGAAATTTACATTTTTAGTCGTTATTGAAAAGTAATATTATACTTACCTGATTTGGAAGAAAGAAATATGAAGTGGTATTAAAATTATGGTTTTCACTGCTATTGATAATTATATTTTTAGATGTTCAGTTGTTATTTAATATCGATGTAATAATATCATTACAACAGGGGTATTTTAAGTATGTAGGTATTTCAATAGTAACTACATCTAGTATTTTCTAGTTTCTCAGTAAAATTATTACTTAGCTACGCTTCATCCAAATTAAGTGATCAATATACTTACACTCCTATAACTCATAATTTTGTAAACACGAAAATAAAAACAAAAACAAGATATGAAGAAAAAATCGTCACATGTATATTTTTGTTGAACAATTTTGTAACGATTGAATAATAATCAAACACAATTTACACACTTACTCAGTAATAATAATAAATTAATTTTAGTAATAATAATAGTTTTAATAATATTAATAACCGTCCTTAGGACAAAACGAACAAATTTTGATCGATATATTATTTAATATGTATTTATTATATTATGCATAATTCTAAATAGATATGATAGAAGTATATATTATTATTATTATTAAATGTATATTACACATTAAATTGTATATAAACACACACGGATAGTATTTGTAAATTAAACTTCGATCGAATACACATTAATTATGGTCGAAAGAAAAATAGAATTAACTTCTAAACAGAGTTGGCATCTTATATGTGCGAATACGATTACACTTATTGACTTATATTTAATTATATTATATAAGTAGCGACAACGTGAATAAAACAATTTTTTTCTAATTATGTAAATATTTTTTTAAATTAATGAACATAGAACTATTAAAAACTTAAAAAAAAGTTATTACATAATATTATAATTTAAATATTAATTATATTATTCATGCGTTGATACTTGATAGTAAAATGATTATTAACTCTAATATAACACTATAATAATATAGCACAATATAGACCATATAAACCGAAAGTCAAAAAAGAAATAAACTAATAAATAATAAAATTTTGATACATATTAAAAAAAAAACTGTAGTAGTAATTGTAAACTCAGTTGAAAAACTAAATACTAAGATGAAACAAAGTTATTCAATAGTTAATTATTAGTTGAACAAAATAGTTTTCATAAACCATTACCTAATATACGAATTGTGATGTACATGATAAAATCGCGAAAAAAAATGTTTATTAATTGTATAAAAGAATAGTAGTAGTTTCTAATGTCTTACAAATTAAATAAACATTTGTTAGGTAACTGATAACTGATAATAATATATAATAATAAATTGATAAAATAAAAATATATTTCACAGATCTCAAAAAAGCTACACAAAATATAAAATAAAAATGTATAAATGTCGTGTGTGTTTTTAATGTAAAAATGTATTATAATATATCATAATTAATATTTTGTTTAGGTATATAATTAAACTATTATACCTATAAATAAATAATAACTACGGGTAACTCGTTATCTTTATTGATACCGATATTTATTATTAAATATTTACATCAAATATAATAATATTTATATCAATAATAATAAAAAGTTTATACACATTTTTTTAAATGTCATACCTTATCTCTCAGTAGACTAACGACGTCGCTGGTGCGCGAATCAATGACAATTTTATTTCAACAATTGTTTTCCAACTTTATAAATACAAACAACAACAATATTATTACCTAGCCATAAATATAATAAATTTAAACACTTATAATTTGAAAATCATTTTTTACAAAAATTATAACACTTAACAACTACTGTCCTCCTGCAAAGAACCAGCAGTTTTGGTAATTTAGTAAATTACACACTATAGATGTTATAATATAGATATTATTATTATACAGTTTTACATGGTTAGATTAAATTTGATATAGTTAAATATTAAAATGAAGTTGCAAGGAATTCGTCTAGTCGCCTCACATTCAACACATGTTGTAGTATTATGGAGGACGTTTCCAAGATTGGTACCACGTTTATAAAAAAGATATTTGTACGAAAAAAATTGTTAAAATTAAGCGGGTATTGGAATCTGATTTAAAAAATAAAAACCGTCAACTTGAAATAATTGTTGAGTTACACACGATTTTGATTTAGTACAACGAAACTAACACGAACGAACTGAATTATTACGCTATGTTTCAGCTGGTGCGTCACACTAACCTAAACAATTTTCGTACTAAATTTGACGTATAATTAATAAACTTGAAGGTCAGAAGCATTACATAGTGTTTCATGAGATAATATGAATTAAGAAACAGATAATATTGATAATAACAATTTTATTCCAATATATGTTAACTATCATTGTCGTGATTAAGACATTCCAGTAAAAAATTTCAAAATTTCAGTATGAAGTAGTTCAAAAACCAATTTAGAAGACCATAGACTGGCAATTATTATACAAAAATTTATTCAGTAGAATTTAAAATGACAAACACTTGGATGCAACATGAGTACAAATGTTAGAAACGAACAGGGGAAAAATAAATGGAGGAGAAATCTTTGTATAATATACATTTAGGAAGTTCTTAACAAAATACATTCACAATACAATTAATAATTATAATAATATTGGGTAATATTAGTGATAATAATAATAATGATAATAATAATTAGGACTATAGGACTATGCATTTTATGTAGCTATACACACTACATAAAACAATATTATCATACGAAAACATGTTTGTAATAATATAATATTTAAACGCAGCTTTCCTGTTGGCTAGACATCAATGGAGTTCGAACCGTAACGATTTCCCGATGATGGTAAGGTGGTAACCGGGATGATACCGCTATGGTTGTCGACATATGTTGTTCAGGCCTATAACCGTTGTTGTTATAACCGGGGCCAATTGATGTAGCGGGCTGTAATCAACATTAAACAATTTTAAAATTAAAATTGATCTTTGAAAAATTAAATCACCCCAAACATTATTTATCTAAATAATATATTTGTATTATGTGTTTAATCCTTAAGTATCATAATTCAAATATATTAAATATTTGAATTTGTGAGACAAATTTATTAGTCAACTCAAATATAACTGCACTGTAATGAGTCATTATACTAATGACTATTATATTATATCGTTCATAAAGCTTAAATATTAAACACGATGGAGTGATAGATTTACAGAATTGTAGTATATGAATATGAAAAGTAAGCAATTGTTTAAAATTCGGACTATGAGTCTTTATTTTAGTTCATTTTTATTTCAATGCATAATTGTGTACTATTTTAATATAATATTAATAATTTATTAATACATAATTCATTTATACGTTTTACATTTTGTTATGTTGATAGCGTTTCTTTTAAATATAATTTCGTAATATTATATTATTCAATATTGAGCATTTTTGTTGAATTCTATAGTTAGTAATAATATATACCTAATGTTGTATGTGCCAACCAGTTTGAGGCCCAAAAAAGTTAAATGAAAAATACAAACTATAAACAGGATGCCATTCTCAATAATAGGCCAATGAAGCAAATGAGCTGAGGAAGCACATTATAAAATTATATTTGTGGATGTAAGGACTATGGTATGAGAGCAGCGGTGGTTTTGACGAGTACGATACGTTTGTTTGATTGTGTCTGATATTTTTATGTTTGATTTAAAATAATAAAAGTAATTTAAATATTGTGAATTCTAATTGTCATCTCAATTTTGTATACCTCACTGAGGTATGTATAATATTATAAAACTTTGTAGCTTAATATTAATCTATCCCCAGCACAATATTTTAATTTACGAATACTAAGAACCAATTAAAATGTTTTTTTTTTTAAAGAAAATGTGTGAAGGTTTTCAATTTATCAAATTAAATCACTTGATTTCCTTTCACGAAATTGATTACACTGAACGTCAAGCAGAATTGATTTTCTATTTTATGTACTTATAGGTAAGGGATGTGATAATAGATTTGCTATAATCACTTCAGGGGTGTTTCAGGATTTGAGGTAATGTATATCTCACAAACTTCTCGACTTATAGGTACCCAAAATGTTTATCCAACTTAAGTTTTACCAACCAATTATAAACGGTCGTACAGATTTGTGATTAACTAAATGTATAGTGGTTTACCCGAAAATAGTTGTTCCAACGAATATAAACGACAGTATTAATATTTGACATACATTTATTTATCATCAAAGTACCCAATCTATTATATTTTATGGATATATTATAAAAAAAATCTCAGTAAATTTGAATTATATTATTATTAATTTATGCATACTGCTTGTATGCATGGTTATTTATATTAAAAACAAACAAAATATAAAACCCAATAATTTATAATTTTTTTTTTTAGGTAAATTGTAGGTACTGAGATATAGAGAGAAAATAGATGAAAAAATAATAATTAAAAAAAGGGTACCTACCATATAAAAAAAACAATATTATATGCTAAAATACAAATAACGGTATAAAATATTTTGTAATATTCATTAGGTTTTAATTAATAAATTAATAATACTAATAATAGCATAATATATCATAAATGTATGTAATATGCGGTGTAATAAATTGAACATTCTAGATGATCTTTATACACCTGATGTCATAGGATGTCATATTATTGTGGTTACCATTTTTATTTAACGATTTATGTTTGTCGAGGTTGTATATTATATTTAGATGCGTTTGTCATATATGCATATTAATCTGAATTAATAATTATTTCAGATTGATAAGACCATAGCAATTAATACATTTACCAACATAGTATTATTTAATATTTTGGATTACACTATATGTATAATATTTACTATATGCATACCAAGCCCCTATTGTAATCGAAGTTTTCATGAAATGGATATCCGATAGGTACATATAATTCGATCCTAGTGATCAAGATGTTTTTATTCTCATGTATTGAACACAAATTATGTCCGATTCTTGAAATGGATAAGTACCGTTAATTTACACTTAGTGTACATTTTTTTTTATACTTCTTGCATCGGTACTTTTTATAAAATGGTCATCGAAAAATGACTGGTTTAACCGTATAATTTTAATTTATATCAAAATAATAAACTAATAATATAATTACTAATATCAAGCTATGAAATAAGTAATTACTTCTTTTCATTAATTGAATATCAATTAAGACGTATTTAGTATACAATTTTTGGGGAATAGTGTTGCATATTATTCAGAAATGCAATTGCAGCATATGTTAATAATTAATAACTTAGATATGCCATGAATGTGTTATGTGTTATACTATTTCAAACATTATATTTAAATTTTAACATTAGGCAGTTTATCATTTTTTTTATAATTACACAATGCTGCTTTGGAATTTCCTGGTAACCATTTCACAAAAAGTTCTCCGTGCAGTGTAAATTAAAAATAATTGTTTCCACGTTTCTCGAAATTAGTCATTACATGAACATTTTGATTACACTATATGAGTGAGACAAAAATATTTTGAAAATAAAATTGTTAAAATATATTTAGATAACTATATTAATATATTATGCTTCAAGAATCGAGAAGAGCATCCCGTTTTACTTAAATAAAGATCCTATCATTTAACTGTTACTTTATCGTTGTGATAATAACTTCACGGGATATTACATAATTTAGATTTAGATTTTTAAAAATCGTTATCATTTTATTGTTACAATAAACTATGAACTTAATATCAAATGAAATGCGCAGTGGACTCACGTTTCGGATTGAACTGACGGATGGGCGCGAGCCAATACCGTCGACCGGAAGTGTCGGGTAACCGGATCGTTCATCGTCTGATGATTCGGCAGCATCCAAGTTTTCATCATCGTCGTCATTTAATCCCATCATCGGCTGTTGTTGGACAACACGGTATCCGATATTGCCTCTGCTTCCGCCTAGATTTATAAAATATATATTATAGTAATCGCAATAATGATCATCGACAAAAATACAGTTTTCAACAAATAATTTCATACGGTAGGTACGCAGCGTAACATATTTAGGTAGGCTCACCACAATTATAATACAATATTTGGAATGCAGTGTTCCCGAAACGTTATAGGTAGATTATGTTGTTTGTTCGAATGCTGTAATAACGGAACTTCAATTTGATATATTCGGTGTGTAGAAAAATCGTTTCGGGATCACTTGGCGGAAATATATCGTTTCGGATAGTAAACTGTACCATATATTATGACGTATATACCGTATACTGTAAGTTGTTATCGGTATTTCATCGTTACAAAAAAAAAAATATATATATATTTATGTACAGCTACCTGTGCCTTTTATAATAAAGTTTCGAATTTTTTACACGTATAATGACTTCGACCCGTTGACCGGTGAGTCGTTTAAGCGTGAGGGAAAAGTCATTATTAATGGGTAAAGCGGTCACTCAACGTAACTTAAGTGAAATCCAATTTTTAAAAAAACTTGAAAATTTATGCGGGACTGACTTTGAATTGCACCAGTCCAGAAGTTCACCGTTCATATTGGAATATCAAATAATTTTCCACATGACGTCATATCGAGATCAGAAGAACGAGGTAAGTAGATGTATAAAGTATATGATCGCTTAAATTATATTTGTTAAATAACCTTTAAGCTAGAGTAAAATAAATCAAAAATGACACAATGGTTCCAAGAGAGCAGTGTTAATTGTCGGATATCAATAAACGAGAAAGAAATTGTTGGATAATTTAATTGATTTATTTACTAGCTAAATTACTAAACATATCATTGTGTAATACAAAATATTTTTTATTAGAAAATGTACTAGAAAAATGCAAGGAAATAAGTGTTTTACACGATTAATTAGAAAACTTAATAACAATATTGTTTAAAAATTGTTTATAGTTAATATAGGTTTTTATGTTTTTATACTTTATGGCCCATAAATAAATAATTTGATTTTTTACTAATTTAACCAGTTTAACATTAATTAAAATCGCGCGATTAAACTTGAAAATTTGATTACATTTTTTAGAAAAAAAATCAAAACAATAATTTATGGTTGCACATAACACGAAATTAAAATGGAATTTAAAAAAAATTCTGGAAGTCGAAACCATTAAACAGTGACTATATCAATAGAATATAGTAGCTCTATACTACTATATAAGTAGGTTCCCTAAGAATATAGGGCTACGGAGGTTATCGATTGAATCCAATTCAAAAATGCCTAAATGAGTTACACAATATTTATAACTATATTTAGGTATAGTATCTATGTCACACGCCATTATCCAGATCCCCTATCATGATTCTGCTTTAACTTTTGCTAAGATCATAATAATTTGTTCTAAATATCAATCGTTTAACATTTTAATTTTATTTTGGTAAATTTGTCATCTATTTTGACAATATCATATATTAAAATATATAAAATAAGAATTACTATATTAAATATTATATAACATAATATTATATATTATATTTTAAAATATTATTTCGATGGGAACCTAATAGGCATATAACTATACAATGGATAGTTTTAAATAAAACTGTATTGTAACTGAAGTTGAAATTGAAATAAATGAAAATCTGTTGTTGAACGCACTTTTGATTTTTGTCGGCGGGATAAGGTCTGGATTTTTGTCTGGGTCGGATGCCGCCGCTGCGTACTCGTCGTCGTCATCGTCCGCTTTCTGCTTGCACACAGCGATAACGGCAGCCCCACCGCCAATACCTCCTCCCATAACACTGCCAGTTCCGGCCCCGCACAAGTCTTGCCGACGCTGGTTCCGGTGCCGCTGAGATCGCACACGGAGCGCGCACATCACCGCAGCTGCGGCCACGGCTGACACAATGGTGATGGCCAAGAGGCCGGCCACCACTGGCGTCAGCCGGAAACGGTCGTTGCCACCGGCTCCTACGGCAGACGAACCTGTCAAACCAAAATGAAACAATATTATTTATATATTATATTATGTATATGTGCAGCGTCGAGCTCAGAAAGTAAACTTAAATGAAGTTTTGCGTGAAGAAAAATTAATTTTTATCACGGTAACCTGATCGCTGAAACCAAAGTCACGAGAGAAGCAACAACTACGTCGTTACGTCAAAAAGAATTTTGAAAGTCGTTAGTAGTTCTTGTTTATGATGAAATAAAGTAGGCAGTAGGAACCATATGTCATTGCAGTGATTAAAATTCATGGCTTTGTGCACTGTACATTTTCATAAAACTTTTATTTCAATTAAAATTAAATTAAATTACCATTGATTACTTATTAGTTTACTATGATAATAAGCTATTATTGATAGGCACTAACTATGGCCAATTTTTATTATGCATCAATATTGCCTATACAGGACGCCGTATAATCGTAATTATTGTTTTATTATAGTATTGTGTATAGTATCATGATAATATTTATCAAATACCGAAGAAATGTTTTGAACAGTGACAATTGATGTTAAGATGAAATAAATGAAAAACATCTCACCAAAGACATTTATTATACCCAAATATTATTTAAGACACGAATTATACTGCTGTATGTATAATATGTCTCAGCACTGATGGAATAATATAATGATACCTACTAGGTATTTGCGGTGGCAAACACGACGTAGAAAAATGCAATTTTTTTGAACATTTTAACGAGTCACGCATTGTACTCACAATTAGTGGAGTGGGTTAAATAATAAATATTATTTATTTTTAGTTAGTATCAACTTTCACCGCTTTATAGTATTACAGGACAGCCGAAATATTACGAGTGCTGTTATCGCGGACAAATCCAAACGATTGGTAAATATAATATATATACTATAAATCTGACTATATCAAAAATAGGTTAACTGCAAAAGTTTTCGAATTTTGAAATACCTTCACGCGTTTGCCCCCAGAGGAAATTACATGGCTGTGCTGGTGATATTGAGCGAACAATCTAAACATTTTCTTATCGAATGACAAATTTATGCGTTGGTGGATTGCAAATTTAATGTATACAAATCCGTCCGTAAATTTGAATAAAACAACGCTTCTAGCGTTCACAAATAAATTCTATCCTCTAAATTAACTACATTGTGGGGACCCCTATTATAGTTAATATAACATAATATTAATTATTTTACATTTTGTGTGAACCTGTGTTTTGTTTACGTATAATAATATTATGTACCTACAGGTTACACCTACAGATAGTACCCGTTTCTGAAGGTTTATACATATTCCAACTATTCACATGTTGTATTACAATACTTATATATTATTATTATTATTATTATTATGATAATTTTTATATTGTTTACGGCTGATACAAGTAAATCACGTAAATAAATTCGTCTGAAAATAACGATTCATTTTATAAATATTTTAACCGCTGGCTTTTAGTTTTTGATGTACACAACACGGAGAGCTGTCTTAATTTCATTTTTATAACTTGCAGTGGTTATGACTTTTGAAATATTTTTTTAGTCTAAGTATAGCTCAATTTTATATAATGTTATTGAGAAATGGTGTGTACATAATTTTGGTAATTGTATAAATATATTTTTAATGTGCAAGATTAACCTTTGGCTTTTGTGTTCATTATTTTACATACTATTTACATAAAATGCGTTATTACATTTATTATATTAGTCTTATACATGATTTGTTATTTAAAATAATATAATTTCATAAGGTAAAAATGTTGCTTGCATTTGGTACAGTAAAATTGTTGAATTTACAAATTTAATTAGATCTAGATCTTTTGTTGATTAGATTATAATGATACAGGTAAGTACCTATATATTATATTGTGTAAATGTATATATTTTTTGTTTTATATTAAAAACGGCTATTGAAATGTTATAATATTTTCAAAGTATATAAATATAAAGTTGTTGTACAAAATTAAACGATGTCAATTAAACAATTTTTTTTTAAATAGTCAGTTATCACTTAAGAAGAGCACTAAAAAATAATTTTTATCAAAACTTGTAGGTATAATATTATGTATATATTTAAAAAAAAACTAACTGCATGTAAGAATTAGTGTATGAACAAGTTGAATATGAAACATAAAACTAATAAAGTAGTTTATTAAAAAATAAAAATGAAGTATTATTACAGTGAAATATAATCAAATGCTTACAACTTTTACGAATAAAATATATATACATACATATTTCAAACTTTATATAATATGAGAATATGTTAGGTTTATCGTTGTTGTTCGAATTTACATTAGCATACTTATAATACAACTTTATTCAAATCTTATTTTATAGTTTTATGGAAAACTATTTCTTTTATAGTAATTGCATGTCTTAAGAACTCAAAACTTATGGTATAAAAGTACATTTCTAGAAAATGTCGAGTGCGGTATGCGGTATGCATAGGTATGGTTTAGGATTTTAGATACAAATAATCTCGTATTAAAATTTTTCTTGAGAAAATAAAATCTGTACCAGAACCTTCATAAATAGTCATTGGATATTATGTAATGTATAGTCTGTATTATGGTGGACGTTATAGCTCAAGATATAAAAAACATAGAAGAAGCGTCATCTTTTGACGACGCATACGATAGAGAGAAATGGAGAGGTTTTGTGATGGCAGCGATGGCACTTAATGGGCCGATAAGCTGAAGAAGAAGAAGAAGAAGATAGTCTGTATTATACTATCAAATGTTTTCTTATGTTGATATTTTGCGAATTATTGAAATTCTTTTACAACGAATCAACGAAAAACACATTTTCAATATTTAATACCTTGGTACATATTATGAGTACCTGTGCATAAATTGTTATATTTATTTGGAACTCCAAATTGTTATTGTTATAGCTGGAAAGCTTTGTTATGAATGGTAATTAATGATGATTGATTGATTTTATTATATTCCTTTTATAAATTGTGTACATAACGGAAATTACCGGTTTTCGTAAACAAATTATGTAGGCCTTTGTTTAAATATCGATCTTATCCATTTTATATAACTTAATGGTATGTTATGTCAGTATTGCTTTTAAAAAATATGTATTTTGTGCTATCCCGGTATACTTGACTCATTTAATCTAAACAATAGAATTGTTACTATAGGAAATAAATTAACTTTATTAACTTATGCATGAATAAGTTAATATCTCAGCCGAGCCTATATACATGCAAATGCGTGAACGTAAATTTAATATATGCATAATACGTTCATCTAAAGAACGCCGCGTAGAGGGGAAAAAAAATTAAAATACCAGTTGCCCTGGAGGGTATGGAAAGGGAAATATTTTTAAGTGATTTTGTTGTATAAAAAATAACTATTTTACAGGTTTCCATTTTTCATTCATTTTATACGAGTATAGATGTTATGAATATAGAATATATAATACATAAATATGAATATATTTTAAAATTAAGTGGAAAAAAACAACATTTTTAACCATGTAATACTAAAATGTACTAGTCTCGAGTGGGAGTGGAGGTTATTTAAAAAGTACGCAGTGTGTATTAGATCGCGAAAGGTACATAATTGAACCAGAGTAAACAGATATGGAAACATGATACACATAAATGGTTATGACAATATAATATTATATCTTTACAAGACATTATTTATGCATATCTTTCAGTTTTCCAGAGACTAGTTGAACATCGACGGAGGTATATAATATTAAAATACTTCAGGTGCAATTGTGCAGTTGTCTGCGAGTGTAGCTGTATAGTGTATACATATACCACTGAGGTGAAGGCCTCTACAGCGTTAACAACTATAATAATCGTTAACTCGGTACAACGGCCATAAAATAACAATATGTACAACTCCAGCGACGACACGCGCACGGTCAGTAAACGGACAGTTGGTTAAAAAATTTATTTTTATGACACATAAGGGCTTGGTAGTTAGTTTGTTAAAAGTATTAAAAACAAAATCAAGTCTAAAATTGCATTATTGGTCAACCAAAAGATTTTGCCCTATGTATATATTGCTCTATATCATAACCAAATAAAACCAAATACAAGTTTAAAACTGCAGTAAAATATAAAATATACAGAATTCGAAATATTCTTTTATTTAAAAATAAATTAGAATTGTTTTTAATTGTTCTAGCTTATACTCTTATAGTAATGTCTAAAGTTTCATAATTACATAATATTATTATGTAGTTGAGAACGACTTATATAAGATTCGTTTCCTTTACGATTATTATTTTCATCATTTGTACACCGTTTTTATTTATCTTGATAAATTAAAAACTTAGTTGTAAATATAGATATGGCGTATGCATTATATTATTATTATATATTTCGTCTTGGTTAGTATATTTTTCTTACTTCAGTATTAATAGGTTTATAAACAGGTTTATTTTGTTTTCCAACTATTTAGTGGAAATACCTTCAAAACTGCTCAGTGTAATTATAAACCAATCATTAAAATAAATAAAGAATTACGTAAAAATAATTTAATAATACGACTGACAGAAGAAAATTATTTTTTTAAAACAATTTAAAGATATTAGTTCCTATATCTAACATTTTAATAATATATATAGACATATATAGTGCGATCAGGGCGATATTTAATTTTATTAAACTGGAAAGTAACACAATATTATGTAAATAGATTAGGTAAATAATAAATTGTAAATGCATTCTGTTTATTTAAATATCGTTACATTTTTTTTTAAAGCAGTTACGCAACTCCCATTTGCATTACAATAGTTACCACAAAGTTTTCGTTGTAAACATTATAACCTAGTTTAAAGTCTCAGTGCTATAGATAACATGCATTCATAACCTATCAGTTATGTTAGGTTTATGCAAGAATAAAAATGTTTCAAGTCTTTTAGCTTAGAACAGTGATATATTTAGACTTATTATTTCCTTCAAAGTCTTAACGCCAACACGTTATCATTTAATCTCATTATTCTGAACCAGATAACTTATGATACACTATATAATATGGAAACGTATAAAACTATCAAATATTGATCGGACGGTTTTTTGTTTATGGACGTACAGACAATATAGCATAAAGATAAGTGGAGTGGCAAATGCCGATAATACTTGGCGAATTCATGCTCGGTGATATACTACTTTATGCTCTGTTCGTTGAAACAAGAGATTCCCAAACTTTTTTTTCACGTACTCCACTAGTACATGATTTACTAAGTCACGTACCACTAAAAATAGAACTATTCGACATTCAATACATTTATAACAATTATAATTTAGTTAAATTTAGGTAGATTTAATAGTATATTTCGAACACAAAACATAAAATAATAATAAATCTACTGCAAACATAATAAGTAAATATATTAGTTTTCCATAATATCACCCACACGGTCATTCTCGTACCTTATGTATGCTGCTAGTCTTTTAAATCAAATTTTAAATGATTGAAATTATAAAATCTATAACTAAATCGGATATAACATAGATAGAATACATTTTACGAAACGGTAATAGGTTATTAACGTCACGATGGCATAAAATAAATATACTCATCTCATAGACATCAATCGAACACTTGTCGGAAATTACTAATTTATTCCTCGACGTCAATATGATGTGAACGACTGACAATAATATATTATTATGTAAGTATCGTTGTACGTACCGGAAGTGGTCTGCTTGTCGGCCGAGTTGAGTGTGTAAGCGGTAAGCCACGTGCGGTCGCTGGTGCCGCGCGAGTTGTACGCTTACACGGCCAACCGGAGCCCGACGGACGGCGACAGCTGTCGGAGCGTGAAGTCCGGTCGGTCGGCCGTAAGGTTGGCCAACATGGGTGGCGCCGGTCCGTCTGCGGCCACCGCGGGCCCACCGTATCCGTCGTCCGGACCAGACGACCCTCCGTCGGCTCGGCCAGCCGAGTCGTACGCCTCCAGCGCGAAGCGTTGAGCGACGCCCCCGTCGAACCCTTGCGTGCACCACACGTGCACTGAGGATAGTGTCGGGTCACCGGAAGTGCAGTTGAAAGGCGGGTCAGGTCTCACTGCGATCCGGCAAATTGAAAGGAACAAAATTAACGATTGAGAATAGAAAAACCACCGTTCAACATTAACATATTAAATAATAATATTTAAGAGTCTTTATACCGTGGTCGTCCCCTCTCTTGACGAGCCTGCAATTTAGCCGGACGATTGCATTAATAGATATACTATTTGGAGTTCTAAACGGACAAAGGGTCTTTTATTAAAACGTGGATATCTTTTGGGGAGGTAGAAACTGATTGCGTACGAATTACTTTTTTGGGAACACGATTGCGTACATATACTTTTGCCCAACTACAAAATAACCCCTAAAATACATCACGATTGCTTACTAAATAGGGTCCAACATTGTCAATTTTTTTATTAGATATGTTCAATATTTAGTTATCACATAATATATTTGTTGGTCTGCAAATAAATTTATGTTTTCTCATTCAATATTCTGTAGCAAAAGACCATAATTAAACTAATATTTATTAAAAAAATAAATCAAATATGGTTAAGTATTTTTTACATGTAAACATATAAATATAGTTGGATGAACTTGTAATTAATTATAGTTTCAACTAAAAATTTCCTTGGAATTCAATCTTGTATATTGAAGATAAATATATTTTTGTAAATTTTACATTTATCATACATTTTAATTGAAGTTTTAAAATATAAATTAAGTTAATTTGATGTAACTAAACGAAATAACACCAATATAAATAACTATTTTAATCTCATGGCACCCTACTCAAACATTTAGAAAAATAGAAACAATGATCATCAGAATGAGAACCAGCTAAACCCGCTGAACACGGTTAAACATGGTTATCTAATGGTAAAAAAAGAGCCTACGATCTGTAATTCATGAGGAAACGGTCAAACACATCTCCAAAAACTGCCTTTCATACGAAGAAGCAAAACAAAAGTTAAATTTCGATTCACTCAAAATGTATGAAGCCAAGGCCCAAATATTATATCCAACGACCTAATGACATTATCAAAATTTGGAGGTGGGGGGCCACCGTTTCTTCAGCACCCCCAAATTCGAAGTAGGGACAGTTTGAAAACTGTTGAGGTACAAATGATTTTACTTGAAGGACAAACAGTTACAAACGAGATATAAACGGTTGGTATAGTTTTCGAATCTAAATTTGGAGGCTGGGGAACTGGGGCCATGGACCTCGTTTATAATAGAATCCTATTAAAACTTAAATAAAAAATAAATAAAGGCTTAATAGTGTAGCCATATTTGAAACCACCAATGTCCAGAACTTTTTTCATTGCAAGATCATTAAATTAAACATCAATCACCTGCAATACCTATATTACATACAATTTAATGTTTACTCATAGTTGCTAACGTACTGCGATGATTAAAATCTATTGCAACTATGCAAGTTGGTAAATATTGAACAAAATGCATATACTAGATAATATTCATAGGTACCTAACTGATATCTATCATAGTGAACACAGCAAAATAATATACTGTTTCCTTAATTTTTCACGTTGATCAAAGAGTACCTAGCGGACAGCACTTATCGTCATTAGTTGTTGTGTCAATATAAAAAAATATCACAAAATAGGTGTTGTGCCTAAAATGGTTATTTACAATTGGGCACGAAATGTATTTTTCTTAACCTATTTAAATTTTTTTTTTTTTTAAATATAACAGTGGGCCAATTATACAAGTATAGTTTATTATACTACTATTTTATAGCTCATAAAATACAAAATGTATTATACATTCCTATGACTAAATTTCCGAATGAAATATTGTTTTTATGATTTATTATTTTTCACATTGTTATAAGCTCGACATTTATAGGCAGTGAAGTGGCTCAAATCAACCAGACATATTATTATAATTATAATATATTTGGACGTTTAATAATTTATACAGAAATAAATGTTATACCACACATTCTGTAGTTTAATTTATGTTCGTTCGTTTTTCAGCCAACGGAATTACGTGAGTTATTGAAAAAATTAACTATGAATATACTTATTGTGTGTTATGTAGTAATAAAACATAGGTATGGGTACACAATAATATTATAACACACTTGATATTGGACTTGAAACGTTTACGAGCCTTAGTCATACATTAATTCTCTAGAATAATAATAATCGTTATGTAATTATTACGTCCGGTATTATTATTATTGCCTAGGGCATTATTAAACGTAAACCGCCAAGTGAAAAGAAATAAACGGGAAAAATTCGATGGCAATTATTGCAAAGTCGCTCGAAATCCCCTCTCCGAAATGCAGAGTATTTAAATGCACGTCGTATACTGAATACCTACGCCTAATCCTCGCACGTAAATGCAGCAAATGATTGCGGATTTCATTGTACCCAACGCGATGCAATTGCAGTAGTTATTGGTGGGAAACGCAATTGACCATTGCGTTTTAATGTTTTTTAATTCGTTTATCCTGTGCCAAGTGTAAATGTGTTACGCGAACGCGAATTCCGAGTCCTAATTTTCTATAAAATGCACGGCAAATAGAATATAACGCATCGATCGTACCAGATTTAATGATATGTGTATCAGTTATAGTTTGAATGTATATTACGTTTTAAGCCACAACTACTCGTATAATCATTACAGTTTCAATTTACGTATGCGGTATTAAAATAGACAAAGTACGTTGTAGTGAGCGATAAACTATTATATTATTATTATTGTTTGTTAATTATAAATTAACGACATTTCCAATTAAGTGTAGTCCATTAAAGCTATCTGTTATATATTAAAATCCAATGATAAAACTCTTAATTCGAGTTCACTGCCTTTATAAATATTCCAAATTATATTAATATTTTCACCTACCTACTAAAAAGTTTTATTTTTATTTATATTTGACATAAACAATCTATATTTTTCCATAACTAGCACAATAAGTTTATACTATGGTAAGAGTAATAAAATATCACATGAAAGGTATTATTAAAACATATCCAACCATAAGTGAATCTTGGCTAGTTGACTAATTATAAGTAATAGATAGAATTTGAAGTGCTTTAAGTTGGACCGTTAAATATAAGAGTGGTACTTTCTCAGAATAGGTACCACCGAAAAAAATCGATTCCGGGAAAATTAACGATGTGCAATATGTAAATTCTGAAAATTGCTCAGCAAATTTATCAAAAGCCCGGAGTCCATACCTCGAAGTGTTGAGGAGGAGGAGAAGAGGGAGAAAATCATCAAATTAGAAATTGAAATAATATTAAAGAGCAATTAGTTTTTTTTAAGAACACCTGGGACATTTTACTGAGTCAAAGTCTATTCAAATCCAGTTTTATCAGGCGTTTGAAGGTCTGCGAATAAAATATTTTTGAATTTGACTTTATCCCAGGAGACGTATCGAAAAGTGAATTTCATTATTGATACGCACATCACACTCATGGCGATTTATTTTGATAGCTATAATTATTATTAGTACTCACCGGCTGCGATCACGTGGAAAACGCAAGGCTCCATTTGCTGTCCGGCGGTGTTCGATGCTCGGCAAGTGACAGTTCCGTAATCGTTGTCTCCAACGTTGCCCCCATTTCCACTACCTCCAACGCCGCTGCTCATTCCCATGACTGAAGGACTATAAGTGAGCACCGACGAAAGTCTGCCACGCTTGCCGGATGACGAACTGCCACTTCCAGTTTCGCTTCCACCAGGGCGGGTGTGTTGGACCACCTCGTTGCTACCGATTTCAGATGCCACGCCGCCCGTCCGATTGAACGTCCACTTGAAAACGTCCGGTGCCGGATATGCATCTACCTCGCATACAATTTCCGTGTTCTCGTTCCGGGCCACTCCGTACGTCAGTTTCTGGTTGTGCCTGCACACCGGTTTGTCTGCGGACCACCCGAAAAGAACGCAATCGTTACACATGGTATTATTTTAATGTAAGAGTGTATAAGCCGAGAATCGAGGAGTTCATTTGCATTGCCTACTGCTCACTTCAATTCTTATGATTTTGAAAAAAATTTAAATGTTTATTCTTTGAAGCAAATGGTTGAAAAACATTTATTTGACTTTTTTTTGAGCGACAACCCGTAGATATTTTTTTTCAATATAATTTCTAACAATGTGACTGTTTAAGGTATATCAGTAATGGAGCAACTTATATTTTTATTCATTAAATTTAGTATTATGAATGTAAAAAACACAAAATATATAGTTGATTTAAATAGGTAATGAAGTACTTAAACTTAACATTTCGTGTGATACATTGTGCATCGGTGTACAACCAGGTTAGTAAAAGTTTACATCGTATGTGAATATAACACCGCAATGCACGTGCAATATTTATGTATGTGGAAAAGTTGCACTCAAAAAAATAACTACTTTTGGCCATTACAATAAAGTTCTAGGCCTCTATCAATATTCATTAAAATGACCTCTGACTAGAGGAGTTACATATTATTGTTATTAGTATTAATGGAAACTAACGAGAAACGTCTAAATTCAACACAAAATGTGGATTTTATACTGAAGTTCCGAAAAATACGTTTTTATTCGAAAATGATTATTTATTAAAATAATAATCAATTTTTATTTATAATTATAATTTATTATAACCATGTATTTTTTTAAAGTATGGTTATAGTTGTTAATACATTGAAAAATCTATGTTGTTAAAACTGTTTACACTTTACATTATCATCATTGAATACACTTAATAAAATAGTTTAAGTTTAATTCTGAAAACTTCTTTTGAGTTTTGACCTTAGTAAATTATTAAAACACCATAAACTAATTCTGTTTTGTAGGATCATTGTAAAATTTTATTTCTGCATCACAAAGTTAAGTTCATCATATACATATCGTATTTCTTAATAAAATAAACGTTATCAAGATTATTTATTATTATTACCACCTTTTGCATTAAGCTGTTATAATTCATAGCCATACACTACTTGTTTTAAATTAAATTTAAAGTGTTTTTTCTCAATGATTTAATCATTACGTTAATTATTAATCGAAACATAATACTTCACTTTTTTTTATCCTGATTTAGTGTTTCAAGCAGATTAAAATATTCACTTAAGATATTCATAAATTAATGTATTGGTGCAAAATTTAATTTTAATAAGCATCAAATTAGTTTAGCGAATATAAATGTATTATTATATTATTTATACTTATTTTACACAAATAATTCTATTAATATATTTCATGGAAAATGTATGTTGTGTTTTTGTTTATATTAGGTACACTTCAAATAATGATATTGTAATTTATATAATACTTAAAGCAATGTTTTGAAAATTAAAGTGAACTCTATAATATTTTAAATCTTTTAAAAACATTAAATTGAATGCAACCATAAGATAAAAGTACCTACACCAAATTGAAAACTAATTCCCAAAGGTTAAAGGAAAACAATTTATTATTATTTGATAATAGTGTATTAGGATTAATAATTCCAATATCGAGATTAGGAAATAAATGGTAAGTAAATTGGATTGTTCGAACCTTAAAATGTGCGAAATAAAAAATCACAATTACACTCATTGAGTATATTAAAAAAATATTTAACTTCATTATGAATGATAGAATTTATTATCCTGAAATAATAAGATATTGATTGTTGGACATACGTGTGGAATAAGCATATTATTATTAAATCTCATTATTACTGAAATGTACAAACATTGTTTGGAACCTAACCTAACCTATCATAAATTGAGTGTCAAAACTATAATAATAATATTGATAATATAAAATATCATAGAGTACCTATCCAATTATAATTTTTTTCTTAGACAGTCAATATATTGTAATCGTCCAACTTTAAACTTAACAAAACATCTTAAATTTAAAAGTTTCATAAGTTTTTTTACGCTTATACATACAACTGATGTTCTGTGGTGGACAGACTACATATTATGTATGTGCTGAGAATGCGTACAAAGTTTTATTAAAACACTTTTCCTCTATTGTTAAAACCACAGCGGATAAACTCGGTGTTTATCAGATTACACAAATGACAACTGTCTAACACGGGGCAGTCGGTAGGCAATTTCACTACGTTTCGTAATCAACTGAAACGTGTTGTCGAATGAGAGCCGTATGTGGCGTAACAATAGTTTCATTTTGACTTATTTTTAATCTACGTCTCATATTAAAAATAACGTGTTTAATAATAATTTAAAAGTCGTTATTTTTGAGTCGTGAGACTCATATAATCATTCGGGTGATTAGTATTGATTTTATTAAAGAAGCTAAAAATACATTAGTCGAACAATAGTGTTGTTATTCATTTTGTATACAGTCATACAGATCATGGTAGTTTTACATTTTTGTTTACAGTCGTCACATTATTGTTCAGAGTTTCAAAAATAGTTTAGCCAACTATCGATAAAATAACTAAAATTATACATTATTCTGGAAAGACGTGATAAAACGTATATTAATATGTTCTATCGTTATGTGATTCACGCTAGCAGCCTCACATATCGATCGCAATATTGCGGTTAGTCGTTTTCAACTAGCCACGGCTTTTTCTGTACATCGTATATAATACTATATGTGTAAATATTATCATAAATTGCCCTTACACATGACTGTTAGCCGAACGACGTTGCTCTCGCCGTCTCCCTCCACGTTGCTAGCCAAACACGAATAGTTCCCTGCTTGCTGTCTCTTGACGTTTTGAAGTGCCAGGTCCTTTTGATTCATAATCACGCCGCTTTTCACATTTCCCTGGACCACTTGACCCTGTGTCCGGTGAACAGAAAACAAACACGTGTAGGTATTCATTACTAAAACGCACTCATTACCCTGGGTTGTATACAAGGCATTATATTTTTCACGTGAAAAATGAATGAACTCAGCGATAGAAACTATACGGAATAATCAGAAAAACACACATATATGCTTGACATAACACTTGAATGGAACTGTTTTTTTAAAATTTTTTTTTTTACCCACGCAAAATATTTCGCCACGAGAACTTACCCTTCTCCGTGTTCTAATAATAACGCTAAAATAATCACGTGATTTTTAACATTAATTTTATATTTTTGCAGACATTTAATAATGGATCCTTGAATTTTGAACAATGTTAACTGTACTAAAAATAACTTACGTATGGTAAATAATAATGGTGACATGTAAATCGAGAATGTAAAGCTTTTTTTAAATATGGTACACAACAAAATATACTGAATAAATTAGTACATTTAACATCAATGATTCTGTCAAACAAAGTTTAACACCATAATATACCTATATATTATTATTTTATAAGTTTTTTATTATATAACCGACACAGGATTATTCACTTTCATATTAATACACTAATAGGGTATTGAAAACTTTGTTGTCCATAAATTAATTTCCGAGAATAATTAATTTGGAATACTGAAATCCAAAATAAACAATTAATACAAATAGGTTTGTCAAAACAATTTTTTTTTCAAAGTGTTGTTTAGTACTTTATGAATAATAACCAGCCGACCCGAGACTTAAAAAAATTAATTCCATTTCACGCTGTATTTTTATTCTTTATTAATATATTTTTTGAAAATTATAACGAAGATAAAATGGATATCAATTACTACTTTTGTGTTTAACCTACATTACGGGACGGATTTAAGTCTGTGGATGACATAGACGCACACCATAATAGATGGGATGTAATGGAAAATAAAAATAATGAATTGAAAATATAGTTATGAAAAGTAATTACCAAGATGTTTTGACGAAATAAAATGAGAAAAAAACCAACGTGTCTATTACACCGCAGCGTAAGTTCTAATATTTGTGTTATGGATGGGTAAAATATATTCAATCAAGAAGTTAGCGAGCAGCAGCATTACATGGCAGGTATATGAACATTGTTTATCTTTTCTTTCAAATTAGCAGCGCCGGAGGTTATATTAATCAGACAGATATTGGAAGAATGCTGTGAAGTATTTTAAAACCATCCGCCACAACAAGGGCCGCGTCGCCGTGGAAAATAATGTGCTCGAACCAATAGTTGATTTTTAAATTTTTTTTATAAATTGTTTGAAGTCTGTTCGCCGTGTCTGTGAGTGAGTGCGTGCGTTCGCGCGGGACGACGTCAATTTACGAGTGTCGTTTATGTATGCACAAAACTGAAAAGCGCTCAGTCACGTCCTACAACCACCTTAACTTGTTGATCCCGCGGACAAGAGGTTTCCATCACTAACTGCAGAACACACAAACGTACACTTTAGATGCAATCGCGCTGCGAGAGAGCTCGGCGGCGGTGTGGTAGAGGATTTTCTTAAGACGTTCCCTGAGAACTGCAATTATATTATATTACATGGGGATGCTCTCGCAAGTATCTTTTAACGGAGGTTATCATTTTATGTCTCTTCATTAACGCCACTGCTGTATTGTAAGTATAAAATGGGCCGTTCTGCATATATATCTTAGTCCCCTCTGTTTGGCGACCGCACAAAAGACGTCCGACGGAGTCGAGAGTTTTTTAAAATTTTTGTTTTTAATAGTTTACGGTTATTCTATTATATAGTTTACAGCTGCTTGTGATACGCGCCGATAAATGTATATGTATACACGACTTTGAATTTTAAATTTCAAACATTCAACTGAATATTTTCTCTGTTAGTAGTACTTGTATACACAATATTGTATTATGTTACACTTGCATTAGTTGAGCACCAAATATATTTATATGTGGATAGCGACAGCAACTTACGTTATGCTTCCAAATCACTTTGTAAGCGGGTGGGTTGGCATCGATCTTGCACTCGAAATATACATCATCTCCTTCTTCAATGTCTGCCGGATTCATGTTGATACCCAAGGCCAGTTTCAATATCGGAACGTCTGTAACAAATACGTAGCATGGAGTATTAAAAAAAAATAAAAAGTATTGTACGCATGATTCAACAAGAATCGTAGCTTCCGACAAAACACAATAATATAATTCAATATCGTATTTTTCTGATGCAGCCAGGAGTACAAGATGTAAGTTCAAAACTTAAAAATATACATAGTTAAAATGTTGAATAATGCTTTGTAAATTATTATTGTTTCATGTAATGCTAGCCTATCAACTCATGAAATGTAGAAATGTATTTCATTACGTAAAGTGTATTATTGTATAATTCAATAAATATGATAATTATAAATCAAAGGAAAATATAATATTGTGTAATACCTATGGTATATTTAAAATAACATTTATCTAATTTAATTTTATCTATTTATTACATTTTATGTTTGCTTAATTAAATTTAATAGGTATAATTGTTACATTTGTGTACACTCAATATATTGTACAAACACTACAAACATAGAATTTTTGATCTGACAACTGAAACATAATACATTGTAAAGTTTATTTCTCTCCATTAACTAAATAATCCGTATATAGTAAAAAAAAAACATTTCCGATAACATGTTAATATGTGTACATAAACTAATTATAAATAACTGTTAATATGATCTACCATTTATATTTTATTGTATATGCTTGACATTTGCATGGATATAAAATTATAATACAAATAAATTGATAAAAAATCATTTACGTTATGCTATTATATTAGTCAGGGTTATTTTTATTTCATTGTTTACCAAATAACTACTCGTTAATTAATATTGTATTTTTAGTTTGTTCGTTTATCTTATAATTTTGATGAAAGATTTTTATAGATAAAAGAAACAAAGAACAATATTCTTTTGCATTAGTCATGTAAACTAAATTACTTACAATGCACATCAATTGTCCACAGGTCTTCCACTTTACCACCAACCATCTCTTCCAACTGTTGTACGTTTTGGTTTTCGGCTCGGCATACCAATGATTTACCATTATCTGATTTTGTTGGTTGGAAAGTCAAAGTGGACGATGTTACGTTGCCATCTGGTGATACCTGTTTGATAAAAATAAATAAGCTTAATACTAGTATACGTTTTCGATAAAGTTAGTTAAAAAGCAAAGTTATTTTCTGTTTCTTAATATTCTTCGATATCCAATTATTAAAGTGTAAAGCTTACATTTTGCTCATAAATAATGCCATTTCAAATTAAGGAATGTATTGCAAACTTAAGGATTTAAACTTAAAGGTTTTAATAAGACAATTACTTACAATATAGAATATTAATAAAGTTTTTTAATAGGAAGTTTATTTAGTAAAATATATAACACAATTAATATTGGAAATTATCATAAATATAATATATATTAATATGGCCATTAAATATTATAAGTCAAATTAAAAATAATTTTTAGGACTATAATTATATTTTTTCATTCAAAGTAAAGTTAGTTTAAATTTATAAATTTATCACATTCCGAATTTCAAGTTCATATAATGAAACTTAAATAAATCACATTTCACTCAAATAAAAATAATATTTCTAATTTCTGCTGATTATATATGATTGAAAGTTAATCCTAGAATGTTTAAACACACGCACACACCCACCGACTATGTCAACATTTTATGATTTAGGATAGGTTTAAGATTTCCTTCGTTACTCGAAATACTATTTCCGAAATATCAAATACTTAAACTTTACGTATTTGAACAGGAAAATACATACAGACTTAAATTAACCGATACGGTTTTTGTGTACAGGAAATACAATAATATAGCTTTGTTGCATCTAGGTATACACTTAGGTATGTTTAAGTTCAGAAATACCAGCCAACATTTCCCGGCGCTAGTTGCGGAGAGACAACTTAATGATAATATTGATTTTACAGCTATATATGTTTATTTTGTTTTTTATATCTGTTCTAACTTTAGGAAGCAGCTAAAATGCTTAAATATTCAACTGGAAATTTTTACGCAAAACCAAAATTCGACAAAATTGAATTTCTTATTTTGTTGTAACTCAAAAATAAAATAAGCACAAAATTAAACATGCGTAAAATATTTATGTTAGCATCATCTGTACACAATATGGTATCATTTTCAAAATATCTTGATATTTTACATTTTTTATTTAGTTTTTAATTTATTTTATTAATGTATATAAAATATTTTGCATTCTGTAACACGTAATAAAAGATTCTTCATATGTTTTTATTAAAGATATTTAAAAATATTCAATGAATGTAGATTTTGAGTGCCGTGTTTTAAAAAATATTTGAAGTTAAAATGTTGACAAAATTCATCAAAATTACGAAAATTTGCAATTATTTTATTGTAAAAAAATTGATTAAATATTCAACTCGTATAGCTAAGTCTTGACATAATTATGAGGTTCCTCGTGAGTTGTTTATTTACTACTGTTTGAAATGTAAAGGGAGAGTAGAAGTTTAATATTACAGAATATGTGATTACAATTCGAATGGTTACCTACTTTCTTCCTTATTTGTATATAAGATGAACAGAATATTTTAGAAAAACTTTAACTATAAATGGATAAATTATAGTCACTGTTGTTAGAGATGACAATATCAGACTTGATTCAGTAGTCAACACTTGATGTTTAGATCAAATCATAAAATTAAGTCAACGAAATAAAATAAATATATTTGAAGTATAAGTACCTATCAATTATCGTGTAAATTAGCAAATATGGAGAAGTATACTAACAACAATTTCTTCAGTATTATCACAACTGAGGTTGACAAGGATTGAGATAAGTTTAAGATAGTTAATACAATGTTACCGGTAAATGTGTACAGAAAAATATCACTTGATTATATGCCTACAGTCCCCACTCGGGGCCAATCATTCCAGAAAAATAAATAATTGTTTTGATAATATTTTTCAAATCAACCATATAATGTTTACTTTTTAAACTATTATCTAGGATTTGAATTCTCCTTCTTTTAGGTACCTATACTTACTCACTTGAAATGTATAACTTTGAAAAATGCGGTAATTTATGTTTAAGGAGATATAAAAAGAGAGATTTAATAATATAAAAAGATTTTTACGTACCTACAACGTAAAACGTTGTCACAATAACTGTATATTTATGAATGGACGAACTTTTTATGTAAATACTAAAAACTATATTTGTTTTACCTTAGTCGATAATATTTTGTCGTCAAAGGAAAAGTCACGATGGTAGTTTGTTATGATCAGATTTTTAAAAATATTTGTGTGTCAGTACAAAGTTTAAAATCCAATCCAAAGATAAAATTAAATAGTATCTGCTCCATCGTGATCATAAATATAAATCGAGTTTATTTTTATATTTTTAAATTTACAACCTATTCAAAATAAACGAATTATTATGATATATTAAAAAACTTTTTGAACAGTTTATACAAAAAACCCAAACTTCAATAATTTTTCGGTAAATAATTTTTTCGACAAATAATTAAAATTAGTACCTACCATAAGTTTAACAAAATGTGAAATTCATGATAAATTACACTGGTATTATTATTAACTATAAAAATATTTAACACTCAGCGGTTAATAAAAAATATTTACTATAAAAACTGATTGCAAAATATAATTCAACAAATCGTATAGTTTGATCATTTGATGTGATATTTTTGATTAGTTCATACCTATTTTATTATTTTTGAAATTCTTCAATGCAATGCAGTTAGTGCATGCATAGGTATAACTGTATATTTACGATCTACCTATAACACATATTATAATAGTCTATACGTATAATATGTATTGCAGACATTTAAATGAGCGTGTCCTTAAATTCGGGTGAATGTAATAATTAATCCGATTGTTGTGATTCGTTATTACAACTAAAGTTTTCAACAGCCATGTATGGTGCAGTTGAATTAATTCAATTAGTCCAAGTAATTTATTTTAAGCTATTAAATCTATTCTAATCTTTTTATCGAGTTTCATATTAATATTAAAACTATTGATATTTTGTTTTAATATTTTAGTAAGCTGGGTGTAGATTTTATCACTTTAGATTAGACAAAACAAATTTTTGCAAAAAAAAAAAATATTATTGACTCTGCCATTGAAAATCGAAAATGAAATATTATTTTTTGGTTTGGTTAAGACGAATGTATAAGAAAAGAAAATGGTAATACTTTGCATAGAACGTTATCGTGCACTTTTTGGTTTTCAAATTCTCTGCTTAATATGATGTAATATTATATTTTGTTGCAACGATTCGTACACGGACGGGTCCGCTTAAAAATCGTTAGTGCCATGGCCTCCTAACGCAGGTAATAATTTCGGCTGTGTATTAATTATGTAGGTATACGTGTGCGGTGTTCGCGACGTACCTACCCTAAATAATGCACTGCACGCAGATAAGCGCAATTAAATTTTAATTTAAACGCGGCGGCGCGGCGGCGTAGTTTTGCGCTCAAAAAGAAAAACCAAACTGAACGTCACGGCGGTGTCAACCGTCGTTGGATTTCGAGAAATGCAGCGCTGCACCCGACAAACGAAATAAAAAAAAAAAAAATTAAATTAAACAACATGGTAGGTATGCCTATTTAATATCAGGTGACATTTCGGGACGACGCGGTCTCTTATAACTCGAATCCCTTTTCTGATTTTGTCCCGTTAACGAAACGTCGCGGTGCTTATCAGCAACCGTGGAGTTTGCCCGGAAAGGGTCGCTCGCCGAACATTTAGCGGTCGTGTCTCAGCGAGAGGGTTGGGGCCATACTGCGGGGGGGGAGGGGGGTGGTTTTCGAGAAGCAAAAGCGCTCACAGATTAGCCGGCGGGCAGGTTGTCGGTGGTGTATGATATTCTTTACACACACGCACACACACAAACACACACACACACACCCACACACACACACACACTTTATTGTAGTACTTACGGTCTGCGTAGCATTGGTCAACCTCTCATTGTCCTTCCACCACGTCACGTTGGCCGGCGGCTTGGAGCCCACCGCTTGACACTGCACCTCGTATGTCCGGCCGCAACTAAGCGGCTGCCTGCTGCTGAGCACTTGCACGTTCAACGGTTTGACTGTGGGACAAATTAAAGCAGTAGGTTATTACAAAAGAATATTGTCACGACTAGTAATAATGTTATTGTTATAATGTTATTTTATAACATATCATTCGAATTATACTGATGGGACATTTTCAAAAAAAAAAAAACCATACATTTTTCTAAATTGTTCAAATTAATTTTATTTCGATAACGGGGCACAACATTGTTTTATATTTAAACTATTACATTTTAGACATTCATGGAACAATTTATTATTCTCTTAAACATTTCTGACATTTAAAATTCCGATATGCATAGTGAGATGTTATTTTTATTGAACGTTATGTGGACTATCGGTACGAAGATTGTGTATATTTCAATTTGATATGACGATTGACGGTGTCTTACAAGTTACAATGAACAAAGATATTGACGTTGGTGTATCTGTGCAAAACGCGTTTCGTTTTAAAGAATGTTTCAATGACTAATGTTACATATTTAACATTTTGACATTAAAATAATGTAGTGTGAAATGTGAATCGTGTATTATATGCTTGTCTTTATTTGTCTCCGGACCGAGTGGCCAAGAAGATAAATTTGGACCTAACCTTCGAACAGCAATTTAATGAAATCGACAAAGTTCGATCACCTACTGGAGAGGTTGTATTAAAATTTCATCATTGTATATACAATGTATATGTGTATATATAGTTTGCATACAACGTAGACAAATACAGATTCAATATAACATTATAAGACAATTTAATTTAGAATTCCAAACATAAAAAATCAATTAATTAAAAATAATAATATCTAAGTAGTTGGGTGTACAATAAGGTTAGTAAATACTTTTGCTGCTTTAAATTAATAACTACGGATTTTGACTTATTTTCGATAAGATGCCTTTTTTCGTTAGATCTAACTTTGACGGCGAACGCAATTTCGATTTTCACCGTACACTGTTCAAAACAATTACAATGACTTTGTCTCTTCTTGTTTTTCACTTTGATTTTTTCAGAAACATTCAATTTTATTTTCATATTAGCAAAATTCAATTTTTAAAAGTCTATTGATCTTTGAATAGAAAACATATTTAATTAAATACCAATATTGTCTGATTCGGAATTGTAGTTAAAAGTAGATGAGTAAAATCTAAAATCATAGTTTTTTTTTAATTTTGAAAATTTGGATTAGGTTATTGATCACTGATTAGTCAGGGTGGTAAGTAAGATAATTATAAATTTAAATGGCCATAGTTGAGTTGTTAGGTATTATGAAAGTATAATTCATTCATGGATTCATGGTTATTATATTATACATAAACATGTTACTAATGTTTTCCCTATCGTACAATAACAACACGATACACGAAATACATCATATATTGTCTTCTTATTTGAAAATATTTCCAATATTATACGAAACCCAACAGGGTAAGATACAAATATGAAAATTCAATTTCAGCTTAATTAGGAATGTGAAAAAAAATGTAAATTTAGTAAATAACAATGTCAAACTTATAAGTTATTTAACAAGCTAAAATTAGTTTATCGTCTAACTTGATAGGTAACTCTTGTATTAAATTTGAAACAATTATTAAATTCCCTTAATTTTAAATATTCATATAGTTCATATTGCGATTCTTGTAAAATGTTTGTAGTTTTTTTTTTAACTGTGAACTATCCAAAGATAAAACTTGTCAATATTTTAATAATACATTACTGGGAATAAAAATTTAATACTATTATACTACTCGTACTTACTCACATTCATGTTAGAGAAAATACCTATAAATTAATTTATACCTAAAATTGTTATACATTACAAAAAAAACATATTTAAATCATCGTCTTAAAATTGAAATATGTGGTGTACTCGTAGAATACCAAAATTAAAAAAAATATGTGTTAGTAGATCATCTTATATAGATCGTATATTGGATCAAACAATTATTGTTGGCAAATCACATATTGAATGAAAAATGTATAAAATAGTTTCTGTGATACATATCTTATCCAAAAACATATTACCTACCTACTATAATACCTATGCTTATAACTTTATTTTAATATTATAGACGATGAGAGTATATTATACTATAGTAATTAGACAGAATAATTGAATTCTTGCATGAAAAAAAGGCAAAATCAATGTCCTAATGAGAACTTGGAAAAAAATATTAAACATTTTTACTTTCCAAAATATTTTTATCAAGCTGATGAAAATTTTAAAATATTTAGGAAACTTACCAATACCGTAACATATTTATGTAAATCTAGAGTGTACAGACTTAATTTTTAAATTAATCGACTGTTTATTCTAGAGAATATGAAATAAAATTGACTACGTGTTAGTCTTAAAAACGATTTTATTTGGGAAACAATGTAAATGCAAAAAAAGAGTAAAATAAAAATGATGCAATGGATTTGGAACAACATTAACAGAATAGTATTTCAGTATGATTTTGTATTGCAAAATTAATTTACCGAAACATTCAGATATAAAAAAAAAACAATACAAAAGTGCACCTATCTAGTGTTTCAATTTATGAATTCACTGACCAGACAGATTTGATTTTTTTACAATAACTTCGCTGTCAGTGTAATACGTCAATAATTTTCGTGATCATGTGATTTATTGATATATTTGAACAGTTGGACGTTCAAATTGTTTTGATCATATTTTTACTGTTGTTATTCAAAAGTATTTTGTTGAAAATATCCAATGGTGATACTTTAAACAATTAATTTCACGATAAATTTAGAATAATAAACTATAATATTTTTTATTACATGATTTAAATAATATTCACATATATCATAATAATTAACAATAAATATTTGAATCTCATTAGAATTAAATCTGAATTTAGACGTTATTTCGAATACTTATTAAAGTTAATATGCCTTTCAAACGATGTAACTGTAGAAATTAAAATGCATTATTAAAATATTAGAGTACATTGTTCTAAGGTATGTAATAACGTAATATAGAAATATGGAAAAATATCGCCATTGAAGTTTTATAACACAAAATGCATTCAAGAAGAGTATGATATATAAACTGTGTATAATGCAGAATGATCTGGTGTGATTATTTTATTATAGAACTTTGTATTATACTACTATACCTATAGTTGAAATCTGATTTTTGACAACTTCAATAATGTGAAAAGCAATTTTCTTCGAAAATGGTGTATTTTTCTTTTCTATTAAAACCTTTTAAGGAATTCCAGGGGAGAACGATCCCGAGTTAATTAAAGTTAACGGATCAGACAAAGGGGCTTTTAAATTGGAGCTTAAAAAAACAGGGGAAAAAAGTAGTAATCACTGATACGTGGTATTGAAAGCTTGTTTGCCGTCAATGATGAAAAGTTTTTACCCAACTCAATTTTGATCCAAAAACTGTTAAAACTCATGTTTATTGGTTATTATTTGACGTAAAATAAAATAAACTTTTTCTAAAATCCTAAATAACTCATATAAATACATTTACTGAGTCACTATTTATAAAAATATATAAACTACGCCATTAATATATTAAATAGTCGTTGGTTAGCATATTAATAAATTACGTTATTATTTAATATACATAAAGATAGTATCATGTATACGTCTAATTAACACTGTTTGGATTTATAGTGATTAGTTGATAAAATAGTTGAGACTATTATATTTCACAATTCAGCCACTATACGTAACTACGTAACTAGTATGTCCCGTGTTGTACGTAGTTTATACTTCTTTTCCGGTTTTACTGTTTTAGCGTATGCTGCAGAAACACTGTAAAGTACACAACCTCATAGATACGTGAAATTAAATTGGTCGATACCACGATTTTGATTATAGTCACCTACCACATAACGAGTTGGGGATGAAGTGACCTCGATTTTTTTTTATCCTTTAAGTGACGAAGGATAAGAATGAGGTAAGTTTAAATGATTTAAACCAATGGTCGTTTAAAGTGAAACAATTTTGGTGGCATACAGAAAAGTAGACATTATTAATTGTTTTTTTATTTTGTTAAACTCTTGGGTAGCAGTAATAGCACTCTTTAATTTAATAATAATGTAATACAGAAGTTATGTTTTTTGTTACTGTGTGTATGTGATAGTCTAAATATCTAAAAACGACATGTTGTTCGAATCATCGTCAATGTTGAACGTGTTGTTATTACTAAAAAAATCGTAAAAGTATAAGACGTACCTATATAAAAAGACGGGTCGTTCACTCATTAACGTAAAGTAACACAGTACACAACACAATTATTTTAAATAAAAACAATAAATCGAGTAAAAAACGTGGTATACTTTTAAGGGTGTTTACTTTGTTTACGCTATTTTGAAATAACAATGCATGCTGAGAAAACTTCCTAAATTCGATAACCTACACTTAGAAAATGTTAACATAGTCTGTTGATCAAATACAATAAATATTTGATACATAATCACCTGTGTACTAACATTAATACATATTACACGTACAACCTAATAATAGCCAAGAAAAATACTGAGAAATATCTGAGATAAAGTAAGAAAAATGTAGAGCAAAGGTCAATGTGTACAAACGTAGAGCATAATATTGTGTAGAGATGGGTTAGGTCAGTAGGTACATATTACCAAGCACTTGCAGGATCACCCACCAGTGACACACGCCAAGGTATTACGAAAAATTGTTTTACTCTTGTGTAGTGTTGGGAAGTGGAGCTAATTTCGTATATCACTTGTTTTGATAACCGCATAGGTACCCGGTAATGGTGTCTACGTGTGAAAATTATTACGGTACCAAAATATAAACTATAAGTATGGTATGTGTGCACATAACTTCATCACAGGATAACATTTAGCGATCGCTGTGGTATTAAAATTCTGATGAACCGTTGACGTCTAAAGGGTGGTTAACGAACGACTTTAAGCGTATACGTATATACAGTACTATTATATATATAGCAATGTTACAGCGGGTCACCCAGTTCGGGTAATGGATTGGAAAAATGATGGCACGCCGATCCGGAAGCAAGCCGGTGGTCAGGCC